CAGGAAGGCAGACAAAGGATTGATAGAAAGTGGGAGGGAGGCAGAGGACTGAACAAGCTGAGATAAAAGAAAGAAGAAGTCGATAATCTGAGTTTTCAATGTGAATACAGTCATTCCCTCTATTTTTAAAGCCAAATGAGACCACAGTTGGAGAGAGCCTGTGAAGATTTATAATGGCTGAGCACTGATTTTAGATACCAAGATCATATTTCAAACGACAGGATGAAGGATGAGGAATCACATGAATCCTTGTCTTTGCATTGTACCGAATATCTGATAACTCAGCACTGCCTCAGCCCACCCGATTACAAGGTGGGAAAGTTTTCTTTAACCTTTATTTTTGCAGCAATTTACTGGGTGTAAATGCCCTTTTTGTGATTCAGGGCGCTGAGCGGTGCAAACACATTGTCCTTGTTACAGGTCACACGGGTAACTCTTTCAAAACTATCACTGATTTTTTAAAATGCAAAACGGGGATAGGAGGTAAAGTGTTTAAATCTCCGGATTTCCCTAAAGTAGATTTTGAACTATACATCTTTTTTTTCTTCCTCTGTCACTCTCAGTTGAATTATTCCATGATAAGATAAATAGTTCCCAAGGTCAAATCTGTTTCAAGCACTTAAACATGAACAATGGAGGATTAGCTCCTCCAACTCTCTTACTTTACCTCTGCTGAAATGTAAATGTGTTTAGGTGAGTAGGCATACAATACATGCACAAAAATACCCCTGAAAATTACCACAGAAGGGTAACCACTTCAGTGCTTTTCTACAGAAGAAAATAATTGGTTGATTTTTGAATTATTGTTCCTCTTTTTGCACATATGGCACTGCGGCCTAAAGCTAATGTCAACAAAACATGAAAGACTTTGACTCTGCTGTCTCTTGGCCTGACCTGTATTTTCCAACCAAGGGTATTTCGTCCACTGCCCCCCCCCACAGACAGTAAGAATATCAGGCATGCACGGCCTTTCCTGCCCACCCATCACTTTCGAAGGCTGTTTTTGTTCATTGTTGTGAGGAGTGACAGAACTGCATTTTAAATGGACTGTGGGTTGAAAGGCAGGCATGTTGGTTTGAGGGGTGAGCCTGTCCAGTAAGCGGTGGTATTTGTGTGAGCGAAGGATCGGGGACTTTGCTATGCTGCCGGCTGAGGAGAATAACAATGACTCTGGGCATAATCAGTTCTACACAGCCATGGCTTGTTGTGCTTTAATGTGGGCTGGAGGTTGGATTTTCTGAAATGGCAACAAAACACAGACACACAAGGCCAAAAGATTTATAATATACACAAGAGTATGAATACAACTTATTACCATTCATTTGGAGTTTTCAAACTCTGAGCCTCAAAGTGCTTTGGAGAAAAACACAGAACAAATCAAATAAAGATACCATAAAAACAGTACCTATAACAAAATGTCTTAGATACAAACAAACAAATAAACATGACTTACAGTTTGATGTGATTTAAAACTTTCCACAGACATCGCTGTTCATCACGATCATCTGTAGTCTCAGGCTTTCATTGTGATACAGTTAGGAGACTATGCACAGGGGACCAGCAGTGTAACAGATTTATGGATTATGAATTGACTTGCCTTGTTTTTCACCAGGGCATCACTGTATTTTCTTAAATTTCAGATCCCTGGAAACCTGGTGTGGCTGCTCAGCTTCTGAAGTTTGATGTTAATGACACAGATTTCAGATAATTGAAGATAGTTTTGAATCAATTATTATCAGTGCAACAGAAACTTTTTTTGCATGGTTCAAATTAGTATGCTGCATTCCTTACTGAGTTTGCATTAGTTGGAGGCAATTCACACCTGGCATCACAATGTAACTCAAAGTCAACTATTACTTGATTACTAACTTAAAGTTTCCCCTGAAAGATCTTCATTTATCTGTGGAAGAAGTGATTTGCAGACAGAGAAGAGGACAGTGGCGGCTGTTAGGACCTCATCCTGTTTTAGGTACTTGGCAAAAAGGCAAATCAACTGTATTTGGAGCAATTGTTGTTTTTTTTTAATTTCTTTTAATTTTTTTTTTTTTTTGCCCAGTTGCCACCAATGTGATGGAGATGCATTTGCATGTACACAGCACCACATACTGTACTGGATATGGGCACATGGAGGTGCAAATGTAGCTTGAGCAATTGTATCTCAGTGTATCCTCAATCTGTTTTGAGCAATTGGATCACTATCTTTAAACACTGCAGCTTGGTCACACATGGATTGTGTTAATCCATAAATAGATTGATATCCAAGTAAACAAGACAACAGTTTAATTAATTTTTTTGGCAGCAAAAAACAAAAACAAAACAGCTCAAGCTTAAAGAGAAGGTAGCAGCGAGGTAAGACTGAAAATGCTTCTCAGGATTTGAGGTCAGCAATTTTCTTGGAAAAGTGTAAAAAGCAGTAAAACATTTCTGCCTGCTGGGTAAAAAAAAGAAAAGTCACTCAGTGCCTCTTCTTATTCACACTGCCTTCCTGTACTCCATGGCTGTGGGTTGAAAGGTAACAAAGATGAGCCTCCTCAAATCTGAATACCCAATTAGACTGTGATACTGTGACACTACTGTCTGCTCATCTCTCATCACTGCACATTATTTCTGCACTTACATCTCTATTTCATGTCATTATGTCAATGTAAGGCTAATCAATTTAGGTCTAACTTCATGCAGAGCTCCAACTGTAAATGTACCAGTTTGTGTGTGTGTGTGTGTGTGTGTGTGTGTGTGTGTGTGTGTGTGTCTGTGTGTGTTCAGGGAGATATTGTGGTCAGGTTTCCTGAATAGAGCATAAAGATGAACAGAGTCTAAAGTGATGTTTTGTGCTTCTAACGTTTTGTGTTATTTAATAAATTCCTCACTTCCTCATTTTGTTCAGCACAGCAAAGCCTCAAAGCCAAACCTGCACCGTGCAATTGGAATCCAAGGACAGCGATTCAGTTCCTCACTTTCCTCAAATGTAACTTTGAATGCGCCTGCAATAAAAATGTGCTCAGCCTTTTTGGTTTCCATTGTAGACCCGCAGTGCAGCTCAAAACCTTATGGCTCCATTTTTGCTCGAACTTTGGTTTCACATCTCAATAGAAAATAGCTCAGCTACTAGCTGATCTAAAATGTCTCATAGAATATCACATGATGCTCCGCTGTGTAGGCTGAGGTTTAGCTACGTATATGGCTGACTGGAGTTGACTCCACAGCTTTGTAAGTGCACAAGCAGCATGTAGAAAAGATGCTTGGAGGACTTGATCTCAAATGCCTTTCAGCGTTAGTCAGCAACTCTGTCAGCTATGTGTAAGGAGTGCATTTGTGTATGTGTATGTGTGTGTGTTCATCTGTGTGTGTGTGTGTGTGTGTGTGTGTGTGTGTGTGTGTGTGTGTGTGTGTGTGTGTGTGTGTGTTGTGTGTGTGTGTGTGTGTGTGTGTGTGTGTGTGTGTGTGTGTGTGTGTGAATAATTGATTGTCTATTTAAATTCCTTTATTACAGCCTTTTAGGTTTGTGGGGCAGTAAAATGGAAAAGTAATGACCTGATTCTGGAGGCGACTAAAAAGTAATTGCTGTGCTTTCTCCAAAAATCTCTGGTCGCAGAGTTAGAGATATAATGCAGTAGGCTATAGATTTCATTTGATATTTGCATGATCATGCAGTATATATTTTTCCCTAAAAGTGCAAACGATATATAGTAGATCTTGGGTGCGTGGACTAGACTGCAGTCTAGCAAGGTAACAAGTGAAAAATGGGTCTGTTGTTAATTGGTCATCAAAGGAAACAACCATGTGTTTCCCATATTAGTAAAAATATGGGTATGTTTAAGGGCTGGACTGAAAAATTCTGGTGTGGAGTTGAACCTTAAGGACAGATGCATAATTTTACTGCATATTGCACTTTTGTGGAAAATGTATATTAATGGATGTCAAACTCATGCTAATAATGCTTATGAGGCAATGTGGCAAGGCATGATGACATTCAGTACGGCGCTGCCTGGGTGTTTTGTGATCCTGAATTATTCTTCAGCTGCATATGTACGAAAAGAATATTAATTTACTGCTGTTGCTCACAGTTAAAAGGGTTGCCATTTATTTCCTTTATAGTTTCACCTTCCTTCTCCCTGTTTCCATTAGAGGTTGGCAGTCAAATGAACAAGTTTCTAGTACTTACTTCTTTCCAGTTTCAGCATGAATTAGGCAATATTGGCCACCTATTCCTGATCAGCTTTCATGATTAAAACTTGAGGGAAAGCCAAAAACCTGATGGAAACAGGTTTTTGGATCCAACATATTTTTAGCAGTTTTGTGGTAATGGACTTTCACCCCGTTAGAAGTTAAAAATAACAAAAGTTATGCGTTGTAACTCTAGTTTTTTATCTATAACCAGAGAGTTCTAACAGCTATATGTTCGGACTCAGTGAAATGTGTATATTCTTTCAAGTATTATCCCAGAATGCTCCATAGCTGCCACACACCACTAGTCATGAGCCAAGAAGCAAGTAGGTGGTGGCAGGCTGCCCGGCTGATCTCACTGCACAGAGCAATGTGAGATCCAGCATCGCTCTCACTCAGCTCAGGCATCTTCAAAGTATTCCACAACCAAACCCAAAATATGCATCACCCAGGCTGTGTTATGTGCTGCCAGCACCATGAGAGAAAGTGGATGCTGAGTTGGTCATAAGATCGGTACTGAGGGAGAAGAGCTAGACTCTCCCTGATTGGCTGAGTATGTAAATATGCAAATTTCAGTGCACCGCTTAGCATTTTAATTGGTTGAGCCAAAATAACTGTTAGAGGTCAGTGATTACAGCCTGGAAGTGCTTGAGATTTATCAGTCAGTATTTTAATATTTCTACTTCAAGATCTTCGAGGCTGTTTAAGTCAAGGTTATCAAATGATTTTTAGCTTCAAAAAGCTTCATAATGTGTTTTACTATCATACCAGCAAATATCTGAAATGGAATATGTTTTGTTTTCTCACTTTTGAATTTAAATTGTTCTACTTTTCAGATCAGAAGACGTAGACCAACACCTGCCACTTTAGTGGCATCCAGTGATCAATCATCACCTGGTAAGGCACTTAAGTGCATGCACACACACACACACACACACACACACACACACACATACACACACACACACGCAGACACATATCCAGCACACACACACACACACACACACACACACACACACATCCAGACACACACACACACACACACACACACACACACACACACACACACACACACACACACACACACACACACACACATATCCAGACACACACACACACACAGTCACAGTCATAATTTCAAGATTCACTTCGTAGATCATTTTGTTCTATAAAAGCTTTGGTCTAAAATTGATAGTTCAGTTGATAGAAAAATGGCGAGATGATCACAGAGATTTGAAATAAACCTCCAGGTTAGTGTACATTCAGACAGAAAACAGCCCTGTGTTAAAACAACATAAGGGGCTCTGCTGGTGGCAGCGTGTGGCTTTAGGTAAAGATGAGACATAAAATTAGATGCAGGAAGTTCAGCAACAGATAGTTGAGCAGTAACACTATGGACAGGATTTTACACCTCTAGAAAGTTATCACATTGGCAACTACTTCATCATGTATCATGATGATTGACAGGTAAACAGTAGAAATGTAGCTTTTGTATTACAAAAAGTAAACTGTGAGGAATGTGTGCTGGCATTTATTTGACTTGTCAACACTGTGTCTTGCTGGATGATGTTGTGTTACCAGGTTAAACGTTTTAGTTGGAGGCCTCTGCATCCGTGCATCCATGTTGCTTTGACGCTTAATTAAAATGAGCTTCATGCTCCATGCAGTCAGTGTGTAAAGTCAGTCTCAACACTGCCCTAGGCAAAACATATTTGAAAAAGAAAGAAATGATTCCCAAGTCAGTTGTAGACAGAATTAATTCCTGGTTCATCTGTAACCGACTGTGCATGTAGTGAAAGATAATTACCAACATTTCAGGTCCATTTTCGGTTGTACCGATAAAGTGGTTTATCTGCATGAACTGCTAGTGTTACAACCTGTTTGCTCATCCGACTGCTCGTCTTTCCTGCCCGGTCTGAACCAGTCTGGCGCGCAGCCCAACCAAATGAAGGAAAAACCAAGTCTTAAAACTTAAATAAATATCTAACCTTGTGGGGAAAATTGTTTTCTCCTCAAATGGGATATTAGTCCCCACAGTGTAATTAGTACAGGTATGTAGGCCCACACACTAACAAGTTACCATATTCACATAATATGTTTCATAATAACCCAGACATTCGGGCACCTGAATAGCTCACCTGGTAGAGCTGACACCCTATGTACAAAAGTCTGAGTCCTTGCTGCAGCTACCATTGGTTCAAATCTGACCTGTGGCCCTTTGCTGTGTGTCATCCCCTGTTCCCTGTCTTCCCTGTAAAAAGCCCCCCAAAAAAAAAAACAGTAGCCCAGACATTTATATTTCTTATTTTGATCGCTGTGATCCAGCCTCTCAACTCTATTATGCACCAAATAAATCTCTGCTGCAGTAGAGCAACAAAAACAGTGTGTGTGTCCTCTCATGAGATCTTAATGATCAAACACAACAGTGCACCTCCAGAGAGTTATATTGTTCGATGAGTCATCCATTTGCTCCCTGCCTATGCTGTGCTTTGGTGTGTATGTGTGCAATGTGACCCAGTACAGAATTAAAAGATGATCAGCTGGGAATATGGGGCAGCAAAAGTAATTTCCTCCAGGTGAGAAAACAGAGGGTGGTGTTCTCTGTTTTTTACAAACAGATTGGAGTTGATGCATCATTGAGGATACCAGCAGAGTCTGCCTTCGTTATATTGTTTAACTCACACCATTTTATCACTGAGAGTTGACATTATTAGTGTTTTTATCTTGAAAACAACTGTCTTTCTAATTGGGTCTGATTAAAATCAGTGTCTTTGCCTGTGATGTGTTTGCTTAATGTGTGCCTCAGTTTGGCTGTGTGTATGCAAGATTTCATGTGCATGTTTCTGTGTTTGATTCAGTAATTGGATGCCGAGCATGTGTGTCTCGGAGTCAGCCTTGATCTCTGAATGAAAGTTCAGCGAGAACCCTCAACAATCCTCCTGCTTAGTAGATCAGAGACAAGAAGGGAGAAAAAAGAAAGTTAAGAGGCCATCAAAATCAACTTTTTTAGTGTTCTTCCTCCATAAATGAAAAATATTTAACTGACTTCAGATTGGAGAGATTTGATTTTCCATCAACAGTTAATGGTCCATAGAAGAACTAAGAGAAAGAGGTTGAAGATGCTTCTGGATAAAAGCGGTGCCAGCTATATTTTTGGGAAAATGTCATGAGAGAGTCCTTAAATTAGTTCCAGAATTGTCCTCTCAGTTTAATTTCAGATGTATAGCCTATTGTATTGCTCTTATTTAAGATGCATCAATTAGACTCTGCTTTTTATTACTCGGTCAATGGTTGTTTTTTTTAGGGATTTCAACCCTGAAATTCTGTTTGTATAATGCTATTTTTTTTCCCCAGTTACATTGTAATGGGAAATTGGCAGGATTATGTTCACAGACAGCTTTATGGATCCCTTTATCAAGCAGTTCGTCAAATGGTCCACCGCACTGACATTTCTCAACAACTAGTGGATGAATTGCCATAAAATATGGTTCAGACATTTATGGTTGTCAGACGATAAATCTTGGTGACTTTGGCCATCCTCTGACTTTTCTTATAGCGACACCAGCAGGTCAAAGTTTTCACTTATCAAGTAAAATAAACATCTCCTGGATGGATTGGCCCAGATTTTGGTGCAGACATTCATGGTCACTTTGGCCATCCAACTTTTCCTTAAGCACCAACATGAGGTTGGCTTTTGTGGTTTTGAGTGTGATGTCTCAACTATTGGATGAATTGCCATGAAATTTTGTTCAGTCATTCGTGTTCCTCTCAAAATGAACTGTAATAACTTTTGTCATCTCCCGACTTTTTCCCAAAAAGTTTAGTTTGTCCAAAAGTTTGGTTCTTGAAAAGTTAATGTAATTTCCATCAGCCTCAGCTGTACTTTCAGTTTAGTGCAAATGTCAGCATGCTAACATGCTAACTTTAGATGGTGAACCTGGTATAATATCTGCATCAGCATGTTATCTCACCTTCATCAGGGTGGTGACAATGTTTGGGGAATAAAGCATCTGGAAGAGAGAAGACCTGTCCGACTTGTAGTTTTGATGGACTAGAAAATTAGAAATCATGAGAAACACAGCCATGCCATGGAAAGACTCAAGACAGGAATGAAAAAAAGACAGAAGTTTGACAGCGTAGGGAAAGTCATCAAATCAGTAATAATCAGAGGCCGAGACAGTTACAGTTTCTGTGTGTGTATGTGGTGTGTGTGTGTGTGTGTGTGTGTGTCTGTGTGTGTGTGTGTGTGTGTGTGGACACGGATGTGCCAGAGAGGAGGAGGGGGATGGGGAGGAATAGATATGATGATGAGAGAGAGAAGCTGTACTGGTGCATTAATGGTGTGCCCCACATCAGACAGAGCCCTGCATTATTTAATGCTCTGCAGATTGCTCTGCCCTGTGCACTGTGAACCCCAAAAGCACATCAGAGGAACAGCCACAGATGTACAGACGACTGAGATACAGGCTGTGGGCAAAATAATGAGGAAGCAGAAATTGTAAAAAAGAGTGTGTGCCTGATTTGAATCTTCCCTGACGAGAAGGCTGGCTCTTTGGGAGGATTTATGTATTTAGTGATTCCTGAAGAGAGACAAAGAGACAACTTAAAACTAATATTGAATATCTGAACAAATTTTAGTAGGTGTGGAATGAAAGAATGGGAAGAATTTATTCTATTTTAGTATTTTGTGTTTCCTGATGAGCTGCAAGCATTTAGCTGCTGGTATGAAAATTTCAACAGCAGTGCACCACTATATGTCCATGAGGGGGAGGAAATAACTCCATGCCCACATAAATGATCACGTTATGTAGTGGTGTTTAAGTGAGACTCTTCATCTGTTAAAGCAGCAGGTCTGTGGGTCTGTGGTGGAGTGTGTGGCGAGCGTGCCCACTTGGAACACTTTGGCAAATTCATGTATCCTCATTTTCTTTGTATTCTCTTTGATTCCGGTCTTTATGTTAAGCTAAGAAAGTGACAATGTCAAACTACAATGAAGAACCACGTACTTCGTAACACTGTGTAAACAAAAAATAAATCGGCATGCTTAGCTAGTCCTGCTGCCATCAATACTGTACAAATCTTAGTGCTATAAGCTTTAGTTTTTTGTAATTATCCTTTATCCATTATCCTCAAGACAATGTGACCTTGTGCTGTGTCTTTCTGGGAGACCTGTTGTCTCAGTGGTTCACAATATTTTTGTAATCATGGTTTTGTGTCGGGCCACAAGGTACCGAGTTTGATCACTGTGAATCGGAGTACTTCTGGCAGCACTGCTCTGATAATTGAAGTTGGTTGATTGGACAGCATTCCCACATGAGATCTAAACCTTAATTAACAGGTAGAGCACTGTCAAGCATTCATTCACTTCCGTATAAGCTCCAGGCAGACTCCATCTTCATCTTCCCCTTTCTTAAACTGACAGATTCTACATTCATTTAAACACTGTAAATTTAAAGATTTCTTTTACAGTGTATAATCTTAATCTGTGAGCAACCATACCGGCTTTTTTCTCCAGTAAACAGCCAACTCTCACATGACTTTTCTTCAGGAAATACATTTTCTACTTAGGTTTTTAATAATTAATAAGCATTTGTTTAAACTCAAATACTGTAAGTGGGAGGTGACGAGCAAGAACAATGTTTTCTTAGAAATTAAATAAATAAAAGAGCCACATGTTATTATTTGTGCAAAATGGGAGACAGACAGACATCTCTATTTCTCCCCCACTTTCTTTGCCCTTTGTCTAGCTGCAGTAAACAATTGCAAAAGAACAAAGCTAAAAGCAACCCTTTTAAATGCATGACGTACTGTGTACTTCAGTTTATTCTTTGTTCAAGTGTGCAAGAGTTTTCTTGATTTGCTCATTTTTCTTCATCAAATGCAGTACAGAAACTATAAATCGACACAAGTTACTGTGGCAGCTAAATAAGGCTGAATAAAGTGGAGTCAGAAGACTTGGCTCTGTTCTTGTCTGGCTTTGTGTCAGACAGCCAGTCAGCAGGGACTTACAGTGATAGACTCATCACTGCTGGAAGGTTTTTTATTGGCCTTTTTTCTTATTCTGCGGCACAGATGGGCTCGATACACAAATAAAACAATCTGAATATCAGCTGTGTGAAAGCCATATTTTATGTTTCTTGACCCGAATGATATTTCAACCATGGCTGCTACTACTGATACTATTACTGTCAACAATAATAACAGTGGGGTTTTTATAAATACAGCTGCTCACTGTTGTAACACATCAAGTCTTCAGCCAAATACATTGATCATATGCAGCAATTTTAAACATAAAATGAAAACCTGAGTAGACACCTTCAACATTTATAAGATAAGCCCATTTTTTCCAGGTCAAAACACCTTAATCTTCTTTAATTACAGCGTCTTTCTGAGATCACTGCAGGTGTTAAATAGTTAGAGCTACTTAAGATGCAGTTAAAACTATCAGTTTTTGTCATTTATATCTAAAATGATTCTTTATCTTTATTTTTGTCTTTAAAGGTCCAGTGTGTGACATTGAATATAAAATATGTTTTCACTTGAAAATAAGAATTGTTGTGTGACCTTAGAGTAAGGCAGCCTCCATAAAAGAGGATGTCTCATTCTAAGGTAACAAAAACACAATGATTCTTATTTTCAAGTAATCATACACTAATGAACACATACCTATGAATATGTTATATTCCATTTCTGTCAATAGATGCTCATAAATGATACACGCTTGACCTTTAAGCCTTAACCTTTAACTTCAGGACAGTCCAAGATTAACCCATTTCCTGGGATTGATTTGAAACAAAATCCATAATGGTCGTATGAACCTTCTCAAACTCCTGGGAGATGCTAAAAATAAGATTCAGTTCCAAGCATCACTTTAAACACACACAGCGTAAAGATGAAAATCCTTCTTGAAATTAAGTTGAATGTTTTTTTGTGTTTTATACAACCTTGAGTTTGTGTTTGTTGCAGAGAGAAAGAGAGAGGGGAAACTGAAGAAACAAGCACATCACTAGCATTTTGAACAGCCTAGTGTATACTTTTAAGAAGGAATAACATATGCACATGCTCACTGGCGCACACACACACACACACACACACACACACACACAATCACACGAACACACACTGCATTCCTGATGCCTAGGGATGCATAGGTTGCCAGGCAACAAGGTGGTGTCCTAGAAAAAAGTTCCAAGGCTGGAAACAGAGTTGGATGCGGGTTCAACACCCTCACTATTGATCACAGTTAATGGTTTCACTGTACTCCAATGAACAGATTTTTTTTTTTTCTATTTCAGTCCTTTTATATAGTGACCACAGTGTCGTATTTCACATATTGACAACAGATGATAAAGCTTTTCTTTATCCAGTGGGAGTCACATAAGCTTCCCATGAGTGTAGTATCATGTTGGAGTTTCCTTGTTCTGCTAAGCAATATAATCTCAACAGCTATGAGCACACATTGATGCTATGTTTATTGTAGTAATATACACTACCAGTTTATTAGGTACACTTACGTAGCTAAAACTAATGCAGTGCAATACAACAGTCCAGCATTAAATCCTACCTTACAGTTAAATCAACACTTTTTTGAAACAGCTTCAACAAAAACAGAAGATAATAGGTTCATTAGACTGTATTAGCTATAGCTTGGTGTACCTTTTAAACTGGCAGCTGGATGTAAATGAACTCAGCGCCAGAGTGCACTTCAGTATGCTACACACTTACTTCCCTTAAGGGGTTTTGGATAAACAGTGTTTTACTGCGTTATCTATCATCAGCAGTTGGCTGTATGTGGGTGTCTATTAGGAAGATGATGAGAGTGGATTAGCATTCCCCTTTGTTAGCAGAAAATCATTCAGAGAGTCTGTTTTTAGAGTGGATAAATAAAATTATTCTTCCCATCATTCTTGATAAAAATTGAGCAAACACTAACTGTATTGGGCTGTAGTGAGTCAGATAGCCATCTGGCTGGAGGTCACTTTATATCCACTCTGCTCTGCACTGTGGAGACACTGCAGCACTCCAGCTACGGTACACTGACATACTGAATAGATCAACTGTGCTACTGTGACTACACAGTATGTTGACACCAATTAATTTGGTGTTTCTTATGTTTGCCTGTAGCTTTAAATCCCTTAATTTCACTGTTTTTTTGTGTACAGTACTTACACTATTATTTGCTCTCTCACAGAAATAGATGAAGATCGCCTCCCAAACCAGTTGTACAAGGTAATGTAATTCATGCTCTATTAAAGTCAATTTTATTAAAATAAGATTACAGAAATTGAATTATGTGAATTCTGTTTTTCTCTTTTAACATAACTCCATCTCTTCTCATAAAACAATCTCTTCCATCTTTGTGCTCTCTGCCCAGTTGATATGTGATGTTTATGTGTTACAGGCAGCCTTGTTGAATTCCCCTCGACAACGACGAAAAGGGCAAAAGGGAACACCTACAATGAAAGGTAGCGCCAGTTATCTGTCTTATACATCAACCTGCGTGTGATGTTGACATTATATTTGTTAGAACAGTGATTCACAACCTGTGGGTCGTGGCACCCACTAGGGGTCGCCAAAGCTTCACAGGGGTCGTGAGGCCTTCTTAATTTTAAGGGGTGTAAGAAAGCTTTAAAAATAGGTAGGCCTATATCTTATAATTTCCTTAATTTCTGTGACAAAAAACTAGATGAAATAGTTCTTTGAAAGTTTATATTATTATGTAGAATATAAACTTTGAGGACCTGAACAGAAGCTATATTCACAGAGACTCTACTTAATGCTCAATAACCTCGTCTTGCATTAGAACAATGGATAAATCTAAAAACAAATGCTCAAAAGTCATTTAATTGCTCATCCACAAACGTCCTGCAGTTATTGTGTTCACTATTTGGGTTTATTGTACAGTTGAGTATAATATGAAATATCCATAAAATATGTCACTTAGTCAGGGGTCTCAAGGTTACTCAATGATAGAAAAGAGACCCCTTTTCTATCATTGAGTAACCTTAAGGAAAAAGGTTGGGAAAAGGGTTGGGAAAAAGGTCGGGAACTCCAATTAGAAGCCACAAAGTGTCTTTCTGCATATGATTGTATAAAAGCTACACTCTTTTGTAATTTGTACCATCTCGTGCAAGATTCCTCTTACAAACACGCATTTACTTACAAGCTCACATGTCTGGAGAGGACAAAATACAGCAGTTAGTCAGAAAAATGATGATATGATGTTTTACACAGTTGTCATGATTTAGATCCACCTGGCTGGCAGTGTGTGCAATAAGTGGATTGGAAAAAGAATCCCAAATCCCATTGTTCCATCCACTACTGTTATGCGATTAATAGAGTTGGAAAAAAAACCTTACGTTATAAAAATATGTTTATTTCATGTATTAATGAGGAAGGTTATACTCTCCCCATCTCTCCACACAAATCTGATGTCCCATGGAGCAGATTTACCTTGCACTTTGTTACATTTTTTTATACACCAACTTTACCACCTCCCTTAAGTGTGAAACTTTTTTTGTGATATTTTGAGTTTGAAAAAAAAAATTCAACTCAGGTTTTTTTCATGAGCTAATTGGAAATGCCAGACAACTGGATGGAAACACACTCTCAGACTGCTGAAGCCTCAAATTAACTTCAGCTGAACTTGAATGCTGAATGCATTTTTGCTCAAAAATGAGAAATGTGAAGTTTGTACCTTCTCTTGTTTCTCTACCGATGTACACATGGGCATGTCAGTATTGTTTTAAGACAAACTTTCAAAAATGTCAACCTGTCGTTTAATGGGACAAACCTAGTAGTATGTCCAATAGAGTCCAGGATGTTAGGTAACTTGAATTTACTTGGTGAAGTAGCTACGCTAACGATGGAAGTTTGCTCTATCTTGAGTGTCCCATTTCAACTTCGGAGCCAATCAGTGCTGCACTTGCCTCAGCGAGGACTCATTATCCAAAGTTTTCTGACCAGAACTTCTCCCACTTTCCATTTTTTGAGCTAAAAAAGTATGTCAGTGTGATATTAGGGCACTTGGGATCCTTCTCCACTTAAAGAGAGCCAGAAGTACGAACATTAAAACTGAACACACAGACCCTGAGAAGTATTCCAGCAAATATTTCTGCAGGCTGTTTTTTATCTCTGCAATGCAGTACAAATCTTATTTTAAGTGTCAATTTTCAATTAAATATGAACACAGCCTGCAAATGGTTTTATGCCGAGAAAGCAGAGAATACGTTCCAATAAAGAAATGGAAACAAGGGGACAATAATGAGGAGATAAGTGAAACTCGTTGCTCTAGGATGTTTATTTTTCAGTTACTTTCATAGCTAAACTGCTCTGAGTGTGATGAGTCACTTCTTAGAGAAAACCCAGGTGATTATCAGTGTGCTTTAGTTTCCCACTAGGAGATTAAGAGTAATAAAACCATGGATGAAGGAGGTTGAAGGAGGCGATTAAACTAATCATCTCCCAACTCTGATGTATCTTCACATGCACCCTTACTCCAAACACTGCTGAGTGTTAATTAAACCTTGTCTAGTTTATCAGAAATGTTTAACCTACAATATTCTTTTGAAGTGCTGCATTTCATGTTGGATCTCCACCTTCACTGACTCTCCCTCCTTCCATCTCACTTTCCTGTGTACTTTTCTCCCATTGGTTCCCTTCATCTCACCCCACTTTTCTTCTCTTGCTTGTCCTCCTTCTCCCTATATTTCCCCAATGATTTACTGCCTTTTACTTTCCACTGTTTCTTCCATCCACTCCTTTCCCCTCTCCTTACCCCTGTTAACTCTTTTATCTAACCCTTCCTTTTCATCTTCTCTTTCCTGCATCTCTTTCACCTCCCCTCTTCTCAGAGCTGCAGTTCCTGGTAGAGCACCACCTGTACAGACAGCAGCAGGGAGCTGGGGACGAGTGCTCCTCAGAGAGTTGCCTGTCGGACCGCCCCAGCCCTGATTCTGTTCCCACCGGGGAGGAGCTCCCACACGACGATGAGGCCACTGCAGAGGCCTTTGAGAAACTGCGCTGCCAAATGGAGGGTATGTCGGGGGACTGTTACAAGAACAGATTTTATTTGCATGCTTGTAGTATTGCTGCTGCTTATTCAGCATCATAAACCTCTTTGAAAACCTGAAACAGGAAACAGGAGTACTTCAACACTCGGAACACTTTGTAAAATGAGACCTGTACAGAGTTTCCATAATTATGTTTATGTGTTTTCCTCTAGACAATCTAAACTGATCATAGATATGAGGTAGAGTGAGTATTTGACTATCTGGACTGGCAACTTGTCAAATGACATTTTCGCAAGTGTGAAAGAAGTACTCAGTACTAATACAACAGTGTGAAAATACTCCATTGAAAGTAAAATAAGTCCTGTGGTCAAAATCCTACTTATATAAGGTATAGAAGTATTAAATGTACATAAAGCACTCATAAGGTGGAGCTAGTTGTGATTACTTCATATGTAGTTAGATTGTTAAGTCCAGTGGTTCTCAACATAGTCACAAGATGAAGAGTCTGAGTGGTGGTAAAATTATTAATCTGGAAGGAAAAAAAAAAAGCTTTGCTACATTCCTTTTTTGTAAGAGGTCAGAAGGACCCACTGATTTAATCTTTAAAGATGCATTTTATTTTATAAGATTAGCAAATGCTTTTTTAACTTTAGCTGTAAAATATATAAAGTGAAAGTAAAAAGTACAAAATGTCCCTCTGAAACATGGAGTACAAGTAAGTAAAACATAGAAATACTCAAAACTAAAGTACAAGTACCTCAAAACTGTACTTACTAAATTCATGTTACTTTCCATTTCTGGACTTCAGTCACTGTAAGCTATAATAGGAATAAAGATCCTGGAAGGAATCCGCCAAAACATGTCTAGAGCAAGAGAAGGTGTCGAAAAAGAATGAGAGGATGGATACAAGTGGGTATGAGGATGCTAGAATGAAAGAAGGACGTGACAGATAAGGAAGTCACTGCAGGGAACACTGGTGTGCTACCATGAGAAGATGCTGAGGAATAATATTAAGGGAGGGATGAAGCAAAACACAGCTTATTAACATAAGGGAGGGTGTAGAATTGGGAAAAGAGGAGATAAAAGTAAAGCTGAGAATGAGGTAGGAGGCATGAAAATGGCTGGAAGGAATATATGTAAATGATGATATGGTTATGAAGAAAGAGGAGAATTACAAGAACTGAAACAAAGACACTGGGGAAAAGGAGGAAATGGAAAGGAATACTTAAAGGAAAAGTTTCACATGTATTTATGCTAAATAAGCAACCAATTAGCTTAGCATAAGACTGGAAACAGGGGGAAACAACTAGCCTGGTTCTGGCAAAAGGTAATAAAATCCACCTACCGGCGCATAAGAAAAGCTCACAATTTAACACGATTTCTCGTTTGCTTAATCCGTACAAAAACCTAAATGGAAAAATGACTCCACTGTTACAGGGGGGTCTCAGCTAGCTCACTGCAGGCTGTAGCTTCACAGGCATTAGACTAGTGTCAACCTTGTCATCTAACTGCAAGAAAGTGAATACTAAGTGAAACTACTCCTTTAATGAACACACATGGACCAAAGCGCCACCTTGGCAGATTCTGTCTCCAACCTGTGCCAAATACTTCAGATCCGATGACAAAAAAAAACAGAGGTCAGCTTTTCAGCTCAGGCCAGATAATTCACTTTAATGGCAGGTGAGTAGATGGTCACATAGTACAGCACACAACGTACACACATTCAGTGATTGTAAAGCACTAATGCATCACAAGAGCTGTGCCAAAATTGTATTTTGTTAATGCTATTTTCATTTTAATTAACGGGGGGACATATTTTTTAGGGTAAAAGCTTGAGCAAAATGTACTCCAATGTAAAAGGATGGTTTTTCAATGGATTTTTCACATATTATGGAGGAGCTGCAAATTAAGTTCTTAGTCCAGATGAAAAGGAGCAAAGAGGAAGCTTGGGAAACAAAATCAATAACCATTAACACCAGTCCTGCTGAGGGACTTAAACATCAGCCTGTTAAATTCACTCACGATTAAATAACATGGAACAGTTAATGTCAGGTGGCGCTGATTGATGAGACGAGTTGGTCAAGTTCTATACTCATAATTTAACAGAAACTACAGGAGCAGAGCATTTTATCCACACTGTGGTATGATTACAAATTTGAGGCATTTATACACTCTTTATACTTTTCCACTACGATTCAGAGGGAAATATTTAACTCTTTACTCCAATACAATTATTTGACAGCTTTAGTTACTTTATAAATTAATTTCTCTGCACACAAAACATTAAGTTGATTTATTGATGGACAGGAAATTAATTGCCAGCTATTTTCACTATTGTTGTCAAAACAATACATTTTATAGTTCCAGCTTCTCAAATAATTTTTCAGTATTTCAGTATTTTTATTTACTGTTAATTTAACTGCATTTCCCACTGTTTTCAGATTTTTTACAAAGCATTGATCAATTAATGGATATAGTCAGCAGATTAATCCATAATGAAAATAATTATTAGTTATACAAAATAGTTAGAAATTAGCTCTAACACACACAGGGGACTTTTAATACATTAAATACATTTTCCTGATTATACTTACCAGTACATACTTTTGCTTAAACCCACTACAAGGAGTTTTTCACAGGTCATAAAATTCAGGTCAAAACAATTTCATACTGACTCCTCTATATAACCTACATAAACAAACAAGACTATCAGCAAGAAGATTGGCTTTTTCTATATAGTAATTCTTATTGCCTGCCACCAGGTCTGATTTGGTTAGACTCCCCTTGAAACGAAGCGGTGGAAACACTACCACTTTTGTCCACGGCGGCCGTCACAATCAACACAAAATGAAAGTTCTACTTCCTCTATTTGTCTCTCTGCCCCCTGCAGAGTTCTCAAGGGAGAGTCTATTAGAAGCTGCAGGTGGACTCGAGTGCGCCCCCTCCAAGGAGAAAGAGGACTGTTCCAGCGTTGCCAATGTAGCAGATCCCTCATCGCAACAAAACAACGCACAAGCAGGTACACAAGAGTCAAAAAAGCCTAACTGACACAGGAATCCATTCCCCTCAGGGACTCTTCATTATCCGTTCACTTGGCAGGGTTTATTTAGATATGTTAAACAGTTCAACAGGCTTGGCTTGGTGTCATGTAATCATGGCTTGTCAACAAACATCTGTGAAGTGGCTTTGATCCACACTTCACAGAGCTGAAATACCCCGGAAGGCAGCTAAACACGAGAGTGGAAAAAAGTATTTAGGGTTGGTTTGAGCTGATACTGTGGGTGTTCTATCATTATTGTAGATTTTGTTTGTTTGTTTCATTCTATGTTTCTTTATTTCTCTCTATCACTGATCTTTACGGATCTACTAATTGAGAAAATTGTGTTTGTTGCAACAATTTACTGGTCAGCACTGTGTAAAGCCAGTGAAAGTACAGTTTATGTATGTATAAAACATAACGTATCCTAAGATTTACTATAAACCATCATGATTTATGATGTCTTAATGTGTATTCAGACACAACACAAAAACAAGACTGCGCACAAATGCATTTGTGAAGATTAATAAAAAGTGTTACCCATATTTATTTATTGTTTAGCTGCCAAAGTCCATTAAAAATCCCCCAGAGTCAGCCACTTCTCTCTCTCTCTCTCTCATGGTTGTTTATGTCTCTGTCTATATTTTGCAGACACAAAAGCAGCAGCATCCAGTGCGATTCAGCCTGGAGAGGAGAAGACAAAGAAATGCAGCCTGGAGAAAGAGAAGTAGAGAGCTCTTTTCTGCACAACACAATGCTGCTCAGTCTGCTCAGCCAGCCCAACACAATGACAGAGGATTGTGTCTGCAGATCCAGTTTTTAGATACATCAGGGCATCTATGTTCCTCTACAGTCAGGCCTTAGTTACCAACCAGAGAACAAGAACAAAGGTTTCTACACTTATTTTGTGTCAAAATCCTGTGTAAAGGGACAATTATTTAAATATATTTGTTTTCTATGGCTTCCCCTGCACTAAAATAAAAATAGCTTACTGTATGTATGAACCAGAATGGAAAGAAAAGAGAGTATTTTCCTGTCTCAGTCACACAATCATTATCATAAACTACCACAACTCACAGGCATGTCAAAGGCAACAAATATTATATTTCCAATCCTTTTAGACAGTTTCTGTAATTAAATATGTGCCATGACTTCTGCAATTATTGTTCCAAAAGCAATAAAAAATTATTTGTACCTCATAACTGGGACCGAGACCATCACTTTTAAATTCAAATGTCATCATTTAGTCCCAGTGAGATAGAAACTGAAGCTACTTAAATTAATGGACTGCACATCTGGGATGAAAATATTTACATATGTTTACAGTACTGGATCTGACATATACTGTACGTTCAGTAAGTCCAACTGAAATTCAATTGCATATTATTTTTCTGCAACAAAATATAGGGCTGCAACAATTAGTCAATTAATCGATTAATAAATCCCATTATTCTCTGGTTCCGCAGCCCAAGTGCGAGGATTTGATGGTTTCTAGTCTATTGTTGGGTTTTGGACTGTTGGCTTCATCTTGTAACTGTGAGGGACATTTTTCACTATTTTCAGACATTTTACAGACTGAGCTATTTTCTCGATTAAGTAATGAAAATAAACGTTAGTTGCAGCCCTAACTGCATTTATATCTGCACTGAAAATCACTTGTCCTGAAACCAAAAGAGAGAAATTTTTGGTTTCATGATGGCGCCCCCTAGTTTTGCATTCCTTTGTCAGAATATCGTAATGTTACTGTCTACACAACCAATCAAATCGCTTTATTTTAAACAATATTTGCATGAACAGCGTTCAATGGTAAAACTTGTGCAAGACACCGTGGTGCTGGCCTCTGCAGATACAATACTACAAGCGTGCGCAGTGGCATTTATCCTCAACCTGTTGTTCATTGCAGTATTCTCCAAAACCCAAACAAAATCTTCAGTGGATAAGCAAGAAGTCAATGAGTGTTAATGGAAGCCAACATGGCTACACACGCTGCTCAGGAGTTTGTCAATGCAGAGTAAGAATTGATCTGCTTATAGCAAAATAAAACGTCTGCATGTTCTCTCAAGGAAGGGTCGAAGAGGGGTCTGTAGAGTCCAACCTCATCGCCCAGTCCACCTTCAAACTTTCAGGAGTGCACGACCAAGTGCTGCAACAACTTGCGGAGCCTTCGCACTCCATCTTCTGACGATCGTACCCTAACACCAGGGACAATGTGTCAAGCATAAGCAGGCTTTAGACTAACAGTCAGACATCTACAACACAACATAAGAGACACAGAAGGATGAGCAATGAAAGCCACATTAGCTTTCCTGCTAAAGTCTTCCTCTTATCTAACTAACAAACATGAACACGTCTTTCCTGCACCTTAGCTTGTTGAACGATTCACCGGGGAAAAGTGCACTGCTGACTCAGTTTGAAGGCTAACAAGCCAATTAGCCACTCAGATGCAGCACATTAAACAGCATGTAAACATACCTGAGATGCTGGTGACATGTCATCTAGGCTACAGTTCAAGTTTGTTTACTTTGTCTGTCTTGCCAGCTGCTGTCAACCAATCACAGACATGCACCCAGCTGCTGAGAGGAATAGGAGCATTTCTAAAATTTTCCAAAATACTTTCCCCCCTTATTTTTAAAAATGAAAAACTTTTAATGATACATTTTTAAAACCATCTCCAGATTAGAAAAAGGAATAACTAAATTGGATGTCAGTTGGACAATTGGAGGAAGTAACTACTGGTAAAGTTAACAACAATGATATCATGTATTTTTACGGAAATGGACTGATAACAAGGCTTTTACTGGCCTAACTGCGTGGTTGTAAATCTGTAGACGCAGTGTTCATGTCTGTAGATGCATTTGCATATTTTAATTTAACAAGAAAAATCCATCTCCAATGAGCATAACTGCACCCTCATATTTGACACTTGAATGCTTTCTGGGAATCTAAATCCTGGTCCTAAAACACCTTCCTGCATGGCACTGAATGTACAGTGACTTATTTTCTAAGCCCAAGGTCTTTACTGTGCTTCATTTTGTACGGGAACTAATTTAAACAGCCAATTAAGCATCTTAAATACCTGACACAAATTGTGATTACTGGCATTCCCTTTTAATTCTAGTTTTGTACGAAACAAGGACATTATAAAGTCATCACCACACTCTTAAATGTTTGTCATTTCATCTGTTATTTGTATCACTGAAGTGGCATTATTATGTAGATTATGTGACAATCCTTCCATAACCTTAACATTATACTTGACGTGTGAAAGAAATAAAACAAACTGTAACAGAAAACTAAAGCTACCCTAGTATTGATGTCACTTTAGCAGATTATTCAGCCACAGTATGAGCAGTTTATTTCCCAGCTGCCAACCAAGACCACTATGTCCACAATGAACAAGATAGACAATAAAACATTCCTGTGCAAGCATTTGTTTTTTCTTCTGCGGTGTATTTATGGACCATGTAATGTTTGTTCTGTTTTTGAATGGTAATAGTGTACTTTACATGAATTAAATCCGCAGAGTTTTGTTCCAATTTTACTTGAATTGATTGATGATTACGTCTGTAATCTAAATTTGTTTGATACAATAAAATGTTTAAATTGGTGATTGGCTGTTTTTCTTTCACACTTATGCAGGCACAGTCTATGAATTTTGCACCTAGTCAAGTTAAAAGCATGTTTGACAATCAGAGTCAGCATCGATGTCCGCTCTCAGCTATTTTTAGAAGTGTTGAATGTCCAACGAACATAAACCAGGATTTGCCTCCCCATTAAAACGTCAAAAAAGAGGCATGTGAGGGGAAAGTCTCCAAAAATTCAAGTTAAACTTACACGGCCTGTCTTCATTGCACCACTGGTCGTGTGTTTTCTAGATATTGAGTTTGACTATATCCTAAAAATATCCTCGCTACCAATAAATAATTCAATGTACTCAGAGCCGGGAGCATAAAAACACATACATTTTTCATACACAGGACTGGTTTTCACAAATTTTTTTTGTAAACTGCAGCAATTTAAGCTACATGTGATATCTGCACAGACACTTCCAGTTGCCTATTAAGACAGCCTGAGTGACATTGATCACTTCTATTGCAAATTTGTGCTGTTAAAGCATGTTGCAGTGAACTTTTAAATTGGCTTGAGGAAGGAGTCTTTACCATATCATACTGTTAATATATGCTTATATTGCTTTTGATAGTTCAAATACACTATATACATATAAAGTGACAAGGCTGTTGGTGTTTTTTTAACTGTTTTTTATATTACATTTGTATAGCTGTGTGTGTGTGTGTGTGTGTGTGTGTGTGTGTGTGTGTGTGTGTGTGTGTGTGTGTATGTGTGTGTGTGTGTGTTTGTGTGTTTGTTGGGGGTTGAGATCCTGCAAGTTTAACAGAGAAATAAAATAACTATGTATGCAGTTCATGTTGTACTTTATTAATTTAATTATTAATTTACAGCTTCCCAGTTGGCTTTAATGTAGAGTGGTTTAATTTGTCCTTACTGTCTTCAGATGGACAAAACTGAAGATGCTTTTGCAAACTGCTTAACTGACAATTGTTAGAAGAAACTGGGATTTGAAGCTGAAACCTTTTGGGCAACCCTGGAGCCACTTCCCTCACTTTGCTCTACAGCATCTCCAGCTGGGAGAGCAGAGAACTGCATTCATTGGTTTAGCAGGCTGAGTGTCTAACCGGGGAGTATGGGATCAATGTTTTTAATGGATCTGAAACTTGACCCATCATAAGGTCATAATATCTTGACCTCTGCTGCATCTATTCTGAACATAATTGAACAATCTGTCTCTTGCAGGTCCCCCAAATTTAGGGAAATCCAGTAGTAAATTGCTAGATAATTATCAAAACACTTCCATGCTCAGATGCCGACTCCTCTAACTCAAGTGTACTTTAAAACTTTGGGTTTTACACATTTTCTGATAAGACAGCTTCTTTAACAAATAGGCTCCATTTGAGCAATGTACAGTGCTGTTTGTATTCTAATGAAAATAGTCCTCAAACATAAGCTATGTAAAAAGATTTTTAAAAAGTGGTTTTAAAAATAGATTACATATCAGATTATTTGATTTACCCTTTTAATTATAAAATCTGTACTTGGCTTTGTGCAGAACATTATTAACTTTACTTTGACACTTTTTCTTTTGCTGAGTAAGACATGAATGTGCTTTGTATACTTGGAACTGAATAAAATAATTGTTAAATGATGAGAGAGAGGCAGCTTCAGTCCAATAAAACATTAAAAACAACAATATCCCACCATAACAAGGTCAACTTTATAATGAATGAATACCAAAACTTCACATAACAAAAAAGGACATATTTTCAACATTTATTGCATGGTTAAATGGTTTGTGTACAGTTCAAACTATTAAAGATAAAATGTTCCTTACAAGTGTTTAGGTGGCAAATTAAATTAACATGCACTATACTGTATGACATGACCAGCATGTACACTTTGCATTTAAATTACCATAGTACACTACATTTGAAATAAGACATGAAGACATTTCTGTGAATATACTGCATCTTACCTTGGGAAGATGATAATAATCTCAAACCACCCCTCCCTCTTTTTCCACCCCTCCTCCTCTGGCTCTCTCAATCATGGTATAAGAAGGCATTGTGGTTTTGTTACAAACAGTGACTCAACATTAACTTCAGGTAACCTTTGTAGATAGTCTATGAAAAAAGCACATATCATAAATGAAGTCCTGTCTACTGTTTTGTATCTGTAGTGGGGTCTTGCAGGGATTCTTCTGACAGCTCCTTTTGTCTGGATCTCTGCTCTCTTGTCACGCTGGGGTCTGAAAATCCTGGAGGATATACGGGATTGGAAGAGGCATTGGAAAAACTTTGTTAAGCTGAAAGGGAAACAATATCTGTATCTGTTAATCTCCTGATGAGATCACTGCAAAATGAATGTAGATAACAAATCAAATCAGGGAGACTGAGCGCATTTATGGAACAGGCTGGCTTTTTCCCTGCCAAAAAAATCAATCACACAACCAGAAAAAAATACATTTTATTCTGCGTCAGCAGAGGTTGTCAGAGTTTTCATAGGTGATCATTTTAATTCTGAATGATTGCAGAAGATGAGTGACGATGAAAAAAGAAAAGTATAATAATTTCTCATTGCTAAATGCTAACTATGTTGTTTAATACAATATTAAATACAGTATATAAATTAAATTAGGCCTTAAATTTGTTTATTTCTTTAAAACTTTACCTTAAAATAGATTGACTGTGAGTTTAAACAGTGCATACAGTACAGTCATAGCATTAATTATTATACGACATACCATTAGAGCCACTTTCCTTCCATTTGAGCTTGTTGTCTTCGGTGTGTCGTGTCCAAGTGGAGCGAAAGCTCACCAGCTCAGCTGTGATATGGGCGAGACTCCACTGCAAACCTCTGGAGCTTTCCCTCCACAGATTACTATTGAGAAATAACAGTGTGGTCAACAGTGCAATTCTATTCCCCCCAGTTTTCTTTTTTCTTTAATTGTGAGTATGTCTATAACATTCTTGTCTTTATTTAAAGATCTAAATATCTCTTAAAGGAATAGTTTGACATTTTGGGAAATAAGCTCTCATGTTTCTTCTTTAAATAAGAAGCTGCAGCCGGGTAGCTAAACTGTAGCTTAGTTTAGCATAAAGACTGGCAGCAGGGGAGTGATAGCTGCGCCTGACAGAGAAATACTGTATTACTGCCCTAACACCCTGTAAAACCACAACTTACACTAACAAAATATAACACATTCATTTGTGAGCTTTGGAGGTGCTGGTGGGCAGATTTTAGACAGAGCCAGACTAGCTGTTTCCCCCATATATCCAGACATGGATGCATTAACAACTGGCTACTGGACTCCAAGATGGTGCAGGTTCATTTCAACGAAAGCAGCTTCCAAGTTTGCCTCCAAACTTGGCCAATTTATCAGCCCATTGCAGTAGACTTTACATTGATATTACAAATATTAATAAATTACCTTGTTTTGCAGTTTGAGGTGTCAACGTGTTTTTATTTTATAGTAGTGGTCTGTGGAGACTACAGACTCCACATTAGGAGAAGCTTTTTGGACCGCAGGGAGTTTTGCCACAAGTGGCCACTGGAACAAATTGGTACCAAGGTTGAGGGCCATATCCAACTCTCTTAATACAACCACTGTTCCAAGTCCACTAAAAATGTCCAACCAAAAGATGCAGCACAGTGTACTTTTCCAACAAGAAAAAGCTTCATCCATGTGTTACCTGTGTCTGTTGCAGGGGTCTGGCGGACCTGGGTTCTCCTCCACCAAAGGAATAACAATCTTTTCAGCCATGTCCGTCAGCAGAGAGAATGTAGGATACACAATGAAGTCTATGAAACCTGCAAGAGCAAATTTCGCCATATTAGCATATGAAAATAAAATGTTTCTGAGCTGGAAGAATGTGATAGTTTTTTTAAGAAATGTAAATGTAACAGAGTGATTAAAGTAAAAGGGTGTAATATATCATATATTGCAACCACTAACTGGGCTGCTGTTATAAGGGAGGATTTTTAGTAGGTGTGTATTAATTTGTATTGTGGGAACACTCTGTGGGAACTCTTACAGGATATCAGTGAGAAGAGGACTGAGAGACAGCTGGTTTTTGAAAGTGTTTTGTGAGACGTACCAATCTGGGACTCGGCTACCAGGGTGCTTTTTCGATCACACAGAGGAGAGGAGGGAAGGCCGAGCTCTGCCTCTCTATCACCCTCACAAAGATAGAAAGAGAGAGAGAAGATTTATTAAAGGGCATCCCACACATCGCCTAGAAATAACTTTTTAAAGGTTATTTGACTCCAACACTGACGCCACCTGAGACTGCTTTTGAGTGCTTTTGTTTTTTTAACACAACAAACATTAAAGAGCCTTTACAGAGACAAGTTTCTCACATCTTAGAGGCCTGCCCAACACCTCATCTATTCTATTTCTTATTCAAGTCCAGGCAGTGAAAATAGCGGAAAGAGGATGACAGCATATAGAAACTTATTGTTGCACTTACTGGAAATCTACTCAAAATACCACCTCACAGTACCAGCCAATTCTCTCATTGGCATCTGGCAAGGCTCAGTAAATTTGCTTGAAAATAATGGCATTTTAAGTGAGTTTAAGAACGCATGATTGACAATTTTCTTCTTACAGTAATGCAGACATAAACACTTTGTACATCTGATTGGATGATTGCATTTCTTGTCATTATTCTGAAAAAAAAATATTCCAACAAATCTGAAAATGTTTCCAAATGTATCCTGTAATCTTTGAAGTAAATACCAGGGGGATTGCAGAATAATGCTTCATTTGATATCTGTAACACATAATCTAAATACTTTGTCAACCAATCTCTCCTCAAGGTCTATTTAGTAGCTGTTCTGGAGCTTTTGGTTATACCGCATGATGCTTATCAGTAGAAGGGGTTTTTCAAGTTGTCATGAAACTAGATGTACAAATAGCTATTTTCTTCTCATCCACGTTTGCTTAAAAGTATGTAAACAGCAAAAACATCCAATGCAGATCATGTTATATTATCGAAAGCTGCAGAACAATTACTAAATGGACCTTGAGGCGAGTGTTCTTGTTTTTTTGTGGATAAGTAAGACTCCAAAGGGGTGGGGATCTGACCATCTGCTTTGACAGTTTATTAACATCCATATCCATTCAGGCTTTCCATTTCCATCCATAATTTAAATTCCTCTGAGATTCAGAGATTCACAAAAAAGGACCATTTGGAAGCACTTCTAGTAATTTTTTTGTTGTTGTTTTGTAGTTTTCCATTTCCATTCGTAGCTTAGCTGATGATACTGTAGAACTGCAGGTTAACTTACTCAATCTAAAGTCTCAATATACCAGACTTTTAAAACATGAACCCACTATCAAAACATCAAAAAATTCTTTCCAACAACAATAAACAGAATTATCATAATAAGTCCTTTACGCACAATAACTAACTCTATTAGCTCTTACAGTGAGATTGTTCTGTCAAAAATGTGTAATCTAACCTCAAAGGTTAAACTTGAAGGTGTATTCTTTTCTTTTAGCTTCTCACACATATTGCTCTCAAAGGTCAAGAATAAACTTCTAGTCTCAGTTTTTCATGAGGTTTGGTTTGCGACCTATGTATCTCCCCCAATCTATTCTTCTATAAAAATCTGAGCTTGTAAGATCTAGGTTGGCTACAAAGTACATGTTCGAAAAATAAAAAAAACTTTCCTCTGTCCGACTGTCTCTCCTTCATACCTGAGGTGCTATTTATGTAGTTTTCTTTAACATTGACGTAATAAACCTCTTTGAAGGTTAACACCTCTTCCTTTCAGATGCCAATGAGTCATTTCCATAACTCTTGAGCTGTTATTTGGTGTCCAACCTTTTGACTCATCAGTCATGCTAAGATAATAACCAATCAAACCAGTCAGATAAGAATAGAAGTAGGTTGGACATGAAAAAAGAGCTCAGTGAGACTAATAAATATAATACCAAGAAAAAAACAACTAAATAACTTGGAAGCCTTTCTAATGCGAAAAGATAGCTTCACATAATATTACCCCCTCTCACTTCTGTTATATTTATTCATATAAAGTTTATATTTATTTATTCAACAGTCATATTGTCTGTTAGTCCCTACATGATGATTTTTCTCAAGCAAAGCAGAAAAAGGGCAGTACATTTTCTGGTTAAAATGTGAATATTTTCTGGTTTACTTAGTCTCCTATGAAAGTAAACTGAATCTTTTCACCAGATACATGAAATTACTATATAAGTTGGAACAAACAAACTCTACAGTATTGCTGGTAATTCAGCAGTAGCATCCTTAATAAACCAACTTACAAACACCACCACATAAAAGCAGGATGGATAGCTCTCACCATCAATACTAAATATTTTAAGAGCTTAAGCAAGTCCTCTGGCTACATTTCTTGTGTAAATAAATACATCCCAACATCTTATTAAATTGGATTTAACTACTTTTTCTGCAGTCAAAAATCCTTGCAATGAATTCAGTGCAACCATTGCTTGATAGTTGCTTCTCTGTGTTGAACTAGTTCTACATGGCATTAATAAAAAATTACCCTCAGATGACTGCCTTGTATAATAATGATACCTGTCTGAGAAGAACAACAGGTTTTCATAAAGTATCTCTGGGCTTTAGTAACTGTTAGACTAATGCTCCGTGTTCTTAACACTTAAAGGAACAGTCCAGCAATTTGGTATTCATAGCATTGTGCCTTGTTTACATTGTGTTAAATGACAATACAGTTGAATTGAATTGAATTAATCCTCATTTTAATTGCAGAAAGTAGCAAAATAATTTGAACTAAAATGCCAAGATTAGATTTATTATATAGATGTGATATTGATGGTGAGAGTTATCCATTCTGTTTTTTGTTTTTGTGGTAAGGTGATGTTATAGTACATCACCTTACCTCATTGAATATGTCCGTTCTCAATATATTGATATAATATCAATATAACACTCAGTTTGACAGAGGCCTATGCACCAAACTTACATATTTATCAGCCAGACATGAGAGTGCTATCAATCTTCTCATGTAACTCTCAGAAAGACAGCAAATTTCCCATAATGTTGAACTATTCCTTTAACCAAAATGAATGGTAAGATATTGTAGCATTCTAGCTTATTTTCTGTTGTGTTTGAACATGTTATTGCACAATGAGTGTGATACACCTGAGAAGAGAAGAAAAGAGAAGAGAAAGTAACATTGTCAGGTCAGGTCTATCAGAGTTCCTACCTGCCTGAAAAACTCCTCCATCAGGGCTTTGGTCCAGCGAGAGTGTAGAGCCCAGGGCTTGGATGGATGGCTTATGTCAGCAGTGTGGAGTAATAGAGACAGTGCTTTGGGCTTGTCAATCCTGTTAGAGAAAAAGCATGATGCACTTCTTGTTTTGGTTGTTGTTTTGTGTGTCTCAGACATGCCTAAGAAGCAGTCTTGACACCAGCCAGCATGACACTAATTTGTCTGTCTGCCCCTCTGTGCGGGACATTTTAATCAGTTGAATCTGCTCTGAACATTCATTTTATGACCTCTTGATTACACAGCACAGGATGAACAACAGTCCATTAGTGTTACCGTTCTTGTTGTTGTAGACAGGCCTTCATCGCTTTGACTTGGAGTAGGTGGGAGGACATGTCCGTGGACAAAACCATCTCTATAACAAGTGATCGCAGCTCCCTATAAACAAAAACACACAGAGACACTGTTTACTAGTTGACCTTGGATTATGGGGAGTAACTCTATGGAGTAAAAATGGCAGGAGGACTCAATGGGGTTGTGCCCTTTTTAGATTTCCTGATGGATTTTCTTGTTCCCATGGTTACACTGACTGCGAAAAAAGCCTGTTACAGTATGTTGCTGGTGTTTTTCTTGATATCTGCAGAGCTCTCCCATGAATAACACACTCACATACTGTATCCGTAATATACAAAGCATCAGCCTCCATGAATATAAAAACTGTTCATACATTTTCTATTGTGTAATATTTTCTCATCACAAACTGTGTTCCAATGAAAAAACTGATTATATACGGGGTGAACTGATGGCAATATAGTTTGACATCTCAGTCAATATGCATCAATCATGTTAAATTGTTAAAGTCAGTAGTGTAGTGGTGACTAGAGAAGTGGGTGTATTCTTAATTTAAACCACTTTTTTAAGCAACCCGTCCAGCAATAACTCCCTGTGTTATAAACAGTGACATGTAAGACTACTCTTGCTCATTTAGTTCACCCAAAAATGGGCCAGTAGTGTTTGCACATTGTCACTCAACTTCTGCTGTTTGACTTCAGGGAGTAAAGATGATTATGAAATCAACATTAGCACACAGAAGAGGGGACATATTTTGGCAATGCCTACAGATGATGAGTCAAACTACATAATTATGCATTTTGAGTGAACCATTACTTAATCCATCCACTCATTAAAGCTCGCAAGCATGAGTGCATCAGAGGGATTTCAGAAGTGGAAATACCCAACGCTAACTGAAAAATAAGTATTGTGTGTGCAATCAATACCTGGGCTACGACACTGTTTAAAGTAAAAGATAAAACACAATAATGTTAGCTCACTGACCACATCTCTGATTGTTGCTACTGTAGTCAGAAGCACATAGTGACTCATTCACTATCTCGTTGCTGATTAGTGAATGAGTCACTAAACAGCAATAGTAACATGATCCTTCATGGATTCCTCAAGGAGAAATTCTATCTTAAGAGGTCAGAGGTCAGCGTCAGCTAGAAAAGCAGCCATGCAGCTGGTGAGGACTCAAAGTCATATCTGAGGATGATTCAAACTGGACAGATAATGGCCCTCATGGGGTCTTTGTCCCCTTCTGTTCCCCTTCTGTCAATACAGTATGTCACCCATAACCATTTTAAAATCGCCAACACAATTACTCCACTATTTGTATGCCGAGCAATTAGACTGACATGATTCAATATTTTTCCTCTTGTCAATACATCTCATGAAAAAGCCCAAAGCAACCATGCGTTAGTAAGTGTCTCATTACTTTCCATCTTTTCAACCCTGGTTAGTGACACTAGTGTCACCCGACACCTGTCTGCCCCAAACCCCTTCTTTCCCCCCCTTCCCACTGAAGTTGTTTTAAAATAAAAGGTCACAAATAGTTTCATTTTTTTAAAATGCAAAATATTTTACTAAAACAGCTGAGCATTGTAGTTTTTAGCAAAAGTTGCTCAAACAGAAATAAATGTTTTTTTGTTGGGGAACTATTTTCAGCTGTGGATTAATATACATTTCAGGAGTATTAACAGTACAACAGCAGAACTTTTGTGGTGTATCTGAGATTGATTCAAAATAAACTACAGTGTCCATGTTCTTACCACTGAAGGAACAACTTGGCTTCTGTAGTTTTTAGCATAAATGGTAAAACAGGAGTATGATAGTGTTTCAACTGCGGATTCATAAACACTTATTTACGGCAGCAATGTTGAATTTGGGATTGACTCAAAATAAACAACAGTGCCCTTGTTAATGGCGATTAAGAAAGCCAATGTTGCATGGTAGCTCATTAATGTAAGTTTTTGGACAACTAACGTCAATGACACAAAGGAATAAGCCATTTCAGGCTTTGGCTACACAGACAATAGTAGTTAATTGGCTCATTTAATTGCTGGATTTTGTCTTTTCATCTGATGTGTTGACAATAAGAAAAATACATTAAAAACATTGCTTTATCCTTTAAACATATGTTCTTGGATTTTTTGAGGTGTTGGTTATTTACTTTTTTCTTGTTCAAACATTGAAAGGTTGTTTGTAATAGACATTTATAATATCTCATATTTTAGTTATTGAGTTTTGTCCTTTGACAGAAAGAGAACACTCTCTTTGTTCAATCGCACCCTGGTCTATTGTGTTAACTTTAGTATCTCTGCCTCTACTGTGATGGATTTCTCAATGGTTTCATCATCGGTGCAAAAATAGACTCATAATGAAATCTTAACTCTTTGGTTATTTGGATGTTTTAGATGGCCAAAAAAGATATGTCTATCAAACCTCATTGTTGCTGTGTTGAAAAAAGTGCTATTGTAGCCTTCCTGAATGTAGAACAAATCTCAAGAAAAACTATTTACTTAATAGTAAATGAAACATAGTGCTAATTCAGATATATAAAGCACTGAAGTCGAACTAGTACTAGCTCATTGACACCAGCTGTTTCAATCATGCCTCACAATAACAGGCTTATTCACAGCTGCATGGTAATCTGCTAAATAGTCACGCTTTAGATAACCAGATCTCCACACTTTGTTTTAGCATATTGCCAGCATTGGAGCAATGTCTGGCTAAACCATAATAATTCTGGTATATGGGGGGAAAAAAACACAAGCTTGTTTGTATTTCGTTCGGGCGGCACTAAGCCCAGGATGCAGCGACAGTGCCCTCGCAAAATAGTGTTGCGTTGTGGGAACCTTGTTTGCATGTGGAGATGTCAACCCTGGCATTAAAATAGTTCCCCACCAAAGAAAAGGTAACAGCTGCTAGCTTGTAACTAGGGTAACTTGATATTTTCAGCATGTAGGCTGCTATTGCAGAGGTTGTTGTTGTTGAACGTAGTGAAGGGGATTTTGAAAACCCAGATAACAGAAGGGGAGGAATGACTGACAACAGTCAACTTCTTGTAAGTCACGTCCAATTGTACTTATATACCCGTACAGCCTGGCCACAAACAGCTACACAGAGACTTTTTATCTACCAAATCTGTTTTACTATTTTCTATAAATGTACAACAATAAGCTACACAGTGTTAGGCAGTAAAAATGTTGTGGTCTTACATCCATTCTTCTCTTGTCAAATTAATGAAGATGTTCATTTGGTCGTGCTGCAGCAGACGAAATGCTGCACTGAGGTGATGGCTTTCCTGTACCGACCGATCATTGTAGATCAAAGCAAACTCTGACCTGGCAGACAGACAGTGGAAAAAGAGAGTGAGTAAAAGTGTAGTTGTACAGTTCTGAAGGGGTAAGGGGAGGAGGAGGTGAGAATGAGATAAAACGAGAGTCCTCAGGGAGTCATTTAAGCACCATGACTGTAGGTCTGTAATGATGAATTTAAAAGTGCTGAAGAGGGAGTGGGATGTGCTAAAAAACTGGCACCATGTGGGTATTAATGACTCAGTATAGCAAGTTAATTAACTAATTTCTCAATCAGGCATCCTGTGTCCACTCATTTGCATAATCTACTTTATTAGACTGTTAAAACATGCACAAAGTACACTGTGAAAAGTTTTCCAATTAATGATTATTTTGAACGTGCTACCAACCCATCACAGTTAAACCTAACATAAAATAAAACACTTGTTTTTTTCTCAAAGACCACATTCAGCTGTGTGTTAAAGTGGTTCTTTGGGGAGGCTGTGAAAAGATTGTGGTTTTATCTTTCACAGAGAACATGATCACAGCTTGAATTCATGATGGTTACAATGGTCTTCAATAATGACAAACTTTGTAAGGTAACACTTTATTTTACTGATTCATAATGTCCTAATATAGTGATTGTAAATACAGTTTCAATATACTGAAATTCTGAGAACTATAAAAAAAAATTTCCCCATCCCTTGAGGGAGGGGACAAAAGGACTAAATGACGAAATTAATTGTTTTTTATGATTTTTCTTAGCAAGGTTGATATTTTTATCATATTTGTTATATTTTCATATATATATATATTTATATATGCTGTAGCAATATGGCATGTAAGCATCTACACTGCCACTGCTTCTTCTTCAGCCCAGTTCAGACCAAAGATTTGCTATGAGATAAGCTGAAACTTACAACTAGTAGCGCGCGGGTCTGCAACATTCTGAAACCCTGTCAGTTCACAGCAATGCAACTGGACGAGATAGTAAATTGTCTCCATAGCAACGACTCTCTGTACTTCTGCTCTAACTGCCAATCTATCTGGCTTTTTTTTTTTTTGTGGCTGGATATAATTTTTAGCATGTATAAATTAAGGATAGTGAAAATGAGTTACTTGCTGCAATTTAATTTAATTGATGTAACAATGAAAACGCTCAATAGTTGAGTTGAGTTGAGAATTTGGAGCCATCCATGGGTGCATAGGTAAATTTTAAGGCCTGTGTTAAACAAATTGATGACATGATCCTCTCTTTCATCCGTTCAAAATTTCCATTTCAACCAGCTGACTTTGCAATGAACTGATTGGCTGTTGAAACAGGTGCCTTGTGTTCTAAAACCAGCCGCTGGAGATTTGACAAACTGAGTTGCACACAGCGCCATCAGCTGGCTTGAATCAACAACCAGTTCATGCCGCTGCAACTTTTCCCTACAGTGCTCTAAAACTTTTTTGTCTCGTTGTGAATCTTTGGTCGGAACTGGGCTTTACCCTGATGAAGGCACGCTTTATGTCAAAAACATTGTTGCACGTTGTTGCACCTTTTTAGCTAAAAGTTTTGACTATACAGTAACAGTGGAACTTTTGGAAACTTGTAGATTCACAATACTAATTAATTGTAATTAACGAGTTAAAGGTCCAGTCTGTAGGATTTAGTGGCATATAGAGGTCAAGTTTCATTGAATGCATCTGTATTTGACAATCTGAGAATGAGAACGGGCTGTTAAGTGTGTAGGAGAAACTATGGTAGCCATAAAACTCTATCTAGAACCAGTGTTTGGTTTGTCCATTCTGGGCTACTAAATACAACGATTCCCATAGTTAGGTGATTATAAACTAATGAAAACATACCTATCAATATTATACCCTGTTTTGCCAATACATCCTCCTTAATGTTACACACTGAACCTTTAATTGGAAATGTACCAAACAAACCTTTTTAGGGATTTATAGGAAACTATAGTAAAAAATAAAATTAAGCCTTAAAGTGACAAGACATTTATCAAAAACATTATAATAAAGGTTTTTTAACTTTGGCAATCCATTTATCTTGACTCTTGTGGGGATTCATTTTTTGGAAATTCATAGAAACACCAAATGCAATCTGGCAGCATTATTCACAGCCTCAATCAGAGCTTCAAAGCTTTGAGGAACCCCATGCTGCACAACATGACACTGTTTATTTAATCAAAACTTGGCAAATGTTGAGTATTTGGAGCATACAGGTGAACGGAGAAGTGCGTTCTGCTGCAGAAGTCACTGAAGAGGTTTATATGGACATATTTGATTGTGAAAACCAATTAAATCAGTTGTAACCAACATTAATTCAACCAAGTAAGAAACAACAAAGTTACAACAGCCAGCGTCTACAGAAGGTGAGTGTTTGACACTCTTAAGATATATTTTGGGTGGAGTATGACTTTAAGATAAATGTTATTTCAGTAACTAAGACATGTTCTCTTATTGTGGACAATTATTATTCCCAGAATAAAGCATGTTGATGATGATGGGTGCCAAGAGACTACGTTCTTCAGTCCTCCTATGTGGAAAATCGACATCTAAAAATACTGTGTTCCCTCCATGAAGATGTGTTTGCTTTAGAGTGCTCTCTTTCTCTCTTCCCACTCTTACTTCTAAAATTGCAAGGCCTTTAAGAAACTTTACCTTACTATCCCTGACAGTTCTTACTATTTTCATATTTCACAACAGGATACAGCATATATATAGCTGGACAGGGTTAATAAAATGTGTTTCAGAAAAAGAGCTTACTTTGTGTGGATGTGAAAGTTGTTTGTGGTTCCCGTGTGCTCATAGTCATGGATGGCTGCAGCAAATAGTGACGCCATCACCTCAAGCTCTGTCAGCCAGTGCTTGATAGACACAAGAGACAAAACAAATTAATATAAAACATAAAGTATGCGTGGAAGGGTGCACATACTGTACTATGAGCGGAACAGTGTGTGAGTGAGTTTTACTGTATAGTCATTGCAAATAATGTCAATATTGTGACATGGTAATAGGAAATTTACTGATATATAGGAGCTACATTTCAAAGTCATGATTCAGTCCAGTGAAAGAACAAGCAATGATTTTTTTCCCTGTGTGTAAAAAAAGATTCAATCGCTTGGATTTAAAGGATAAGGCTTATTTTTTATTGTCAACTAATCCTATGAAAAAACAAAACCAACAATGAATTGATCCAACTAAGTATTTCCTACTGATACTATTTTATTTCTCTGTGCCAAAACAACAACAAGACAAAGAGTCGCCTTGCTAGCTGCTTGAGGCTGTGGACACTGTTTCAATGCTATCATGCATATAATGACAATACTAACATGTTTAGCTAGCAGGTAACTGTTTATCATGGTTACTATCTTTTAGTATGTATTTTGTGGCAATTCAATTCCACACTTTTGCACTGGATGACATTTTCTTCAATATGTCTAATAGTGCACCAAATTGGAATAAGAATCTTTGTTTGGGAAGCAGTTAATACATAAGAGCCCAGCGTACCACGAGTCCAGAGCGCAACAGCAGGCAGTGCAGTGTCTGAGTCACATCAGCAGCATGAACGTGGCTGTGGTAGGGGTTGTTGTATTTGCAGTATCCTCTCTCCAGTGCAGACATGAACTCTGTCAGGCATGAGATGGGGATCTGCAAAACGTATTACGTAATCATTAAAGTGAAAGTTTTTGTCAACAATTAAATCTAAAACAGCTTGAATGTTGTAATAAAGTTGTGGTTAGGATTGACAGGGCTTACGGTACGATGTGTGTGTGATTTGCACAAATAATTTTGCAACTCATTTTTTCTTCACACACCAGAAATATAATAATAAACCCATATGCCTGATTATATCTGCAATTACAACACACATTTCTCACAAAAGTAGAGCCAAGGGTAGTAATTATCTTATTACTATAAGATTTTTTATCCAGAAAGCTGACATTATTGCATTTCTATGATAACATATTGTATAGGGAATGCATTATATATACTGTGCAATAAAAGCCAAAGATAAAAGACCTTAAAACGGCTGTTGAGCCCATATCTGGTGATCAGCTCAAAAAACAGAGTTTGTAACGCATGATCGGAGCTGGCCGAGTTCAGAGCAAACACGTCAAAGCTCCAGCGGTCAACATCCTGAGGAGAAGGAGAGCAAAGTGACTGCGTTATTGATGCATACTTGTGGTGTGTGTATATGATCTCTTTTGTGATGTCTGATTTATTGCACTAACACACGACGCACAGTGAGATTTATGATTAGTGGGGTCTTACCCTGAGGCAGTTTACGACCACCGCAGGTTGGTCTGGCATGGCTGCCGTGTAGGCCCTCTTGAACATCCTGGAATAATGCAATGTTTATGTTGAGTTCAGTTAAAGTTCAGATGTTGACACTGTGCAGTGAACTCGTCTCAGGAGCTGTTTATATAAATCCTCCAAAGTCCCTGTCCCTTTTGGAAGGATGTTTTAAAGAGAAAAGGAGGCTAATGTTTCACAGTGCAGTACAGCTGTCTGTGTTTTCTGTGGCTGTGATTGTAACAACAATGTATTAGGTTATATTAGAGTTATAGTACAGATGTGGGAATCATTCATTTACAATGAGAATTTTATAGTATGAGATGATCGTTTCCTTTTTTTATTGTATTTAAGTCTCATAAATAAAACATATATCTCTGTGATTTGCTTTTTTTTTCTGCAGCAGTGACATTGTTACAGACAAGAATCAGACATCCTGACGAAACATACAGGCGTCGCTGAGTAACTGTCCAAATGAATTAAATAGAGATACATTTAATACGTGTTATTTTACCTCTCCACAAATATCCCAGCCTGCACTGCATGCACAATGCTGCGAAACTTGGGCTTCTCATCTGAGCGTCGTACAGGCTTTCGAACCCTCTGGGTAAAGGTGGACGCCAGCCAATCAGTGACCTCTGAAGGCACGCCGTCTGACTGCAGCTGCTGAAGGTCGTCCTCGGACTCCAGACACTGCCTGAGAGAGACACATAGGCACATACAGCGATTATTAACACTGACAAATACTTGATTTAAGCAGTATAGGATAAGTTGCTGTCCAAAATAACTCCCTGTTTACGAATGCACTACATTTACTGTGGTGTAAATATGTGCACCCACCCATTGTAGAATGACATGGCATGTGCAGTACTTTCTGCCAACAATACCACAATGCAATGCATCACATATTATAGTTTTAAATGACAGTTATTCATAAGTGTCGGAAATTTCTATTTAGTGCTGAGTAAACTATGATGGAAGTGATTAAGAGAATGAGGGAGTAATTTTGTTTTAATGCGGTATGTGGAAAATGTCTCTGTATGATGGCAGTTAACCAGAGGTCATCATAAAACTATGCCATGCAGTGGGGGTATAACTGAGGTCCAGTGATTTTTAAAGTGAAAAAAAAAACATTAAAAAACAATAATCAGGGAAGTATACAGGTAAGGAGTTCTACAATTCTCTGTTTATCTCTTAAGATACAGAGCTGGAACCTGAAGAAGCTGTATATGACCAGATTGATCATCATATCTGCACTGCATTTTAAAATGGCCTGGCTGAACCCATTATCATTCTGTTATAGGGGTAAAAAAAACTATGGCTTGTTATTTTTTTAAACCAATCGCAATCATGTTTGGCGGCGCTAAACTCACAATGTAGCACGGCAACAACGATGCCCTTGTAAAATAGTGTTGGAAGAGAATGTCGACTGACTTATACCAACAGCCTACTTCCTGCAAGCCAGACTAATCATCATATGAATGACAATTTCTTCCAAAACATTAGCTAAACAGCAGAACAATTTCAGTTCACAAGGGCAGTTTTTCTTGAAATTCATCAAGTGACTTATTCTAGTTGGCCTTGGCACCTGATTATCAGTGTCATTGTTTTTCCAACAAATTCGCTCTGGTTCTTGAACCAGTTCGGTTCAGGATTCTTGGAGCCTTGTTGCTATCAAGCAAACCAGCCCGCATTTCCACCAGTTTTGAGTGGAGCCATTGTTATCCACGATGCGTCATCAACAGTGGCCGTTGCACAATGCACAACAACCTTTAGAAAGGAAACACACTTTGGTTCCAATGGAAAACCTGCTATTTAATGGTTCCAGCTGGGAACCAACTTTCCGGGTAACAGACCAATTTATTTCAGGTCCAAATGCTCAGATCAGAACATGCTATGAAAAGCATCCCATAATTGCTTTTATTATTCAGTAAATATATATATATATTTTTTTTTTTAAGAAAAAAAAAGTGTGTGTCACCTACGGGGGTCTCCTCTGATCACTCCAGTTTCCTCCCACAGTCCAAAGACATGTAGGCTAGGTTGATTCTGATTCTTAATTGCCTGTAGGTATGAATGTGAGTGTGAATGGTTGTCTATGTGTTAGCCTCAAGACTACACCATTTCTTGACCAGTGGAATAGGCCCCCATCTCCTTGTCACAATGCAAATGATAAGTGTGAATAAATACAGAAATGGATTGATATTAGTTCTAATCTTGTCTTTTTGAACCCTGTAGCGCCCCATACAATCACAAGGATTTGTTTTGGTTGGTTTTGTCCTTACTCTGAAAGTTAAAAGCAAGAAACTGTTTAAAAAGTTAACTCAGCAGAAAATTCTACCTTGTTCCATCGAGGTAAACTGCCTCCAGTAACGACGCAGTGTAATCCAGATTCTTTTTGATTTCTTCAAAGTCGACATCTTTCTCCTCTAGCTGCTTCAGCATGCTCCTCAACCTGACAGGAAACACAATCATTTATTTGGATGTGATCACAACAAAATAAAATGGTAGATGTTCTTTTTTAAAGTACAGGAACTGCTGTTTCATCTCAAAACAACAATCACAGAGAGGTAATAGTGGGTGTGAAAACAGTTAAAGCAGTTTGGCATCAGTCTCCACATTAAATCATACTGGGTACAGCAATAAAAGTTATAGCTCCAGAATAAAGGTCATTTTGAACATAATGGGGACTTTGTGTGATACAAGTTTTTTAGGCACAGTTCTATAAATTGACAGCACTTGTCTTGAGCGAATGAAACAAGGTCCGAGAGGTGCTCTAACAGCAGGTTGAGAAATCCTCATGAAAGGAAGGAGTTCATTTCAAAGTGATTTAAATGCCAAGCTGTCCAAAGAAAGCCAGTGGCAAAAGGGCATCATCAGTGCCAAATTTTCCATGAGAGGAAAACTTCCCATGGTTGAGGTCTTATGTAACCCCACATTTTGTCAAAGTGGGCTCCTTAAAAAAAAATATGTTTTTGGGTTGGCCCCATTCTGATCTTGTCTGAGAACATGTTGCTCATTCTTGGTTTTGAAACTTTTAATCAAATTATAATAGAGAGCTGGTGGAAATGCGTTAATCTCCTGCAGTGTAATAAAAAGCAAATGCTTGGAGCACATGTCACATGCAGTGTGTTAATGTAATCTCATCTCAGTAATAAATCCAAAAGCTTTCATATCATAATAAAGTTCCGATAGAACTTGAATCTTTCTACTTCAATTGGACTTTATTTTCCCTGGGTCCATTTGAAAGAGAGATTTATTTGATTTGATAACACATTTAAACCACAGATAATTCCTCCAAGACATTTTGGTGGGCTGCCCGCACGGTGCCGTGACCAGAATGATTGTGTTCAAACTGAGCCAGGCCACGCCATGGAGCCAACTCCTGGGGAAGAGATGCTCACAGCTTTTCAAGTGTTTATCACGCTGGCAAGGGCTTCCAAAAGCTGTTGAGTCATAAAAATAGCATGCATCTGAATGCCACCGCTCACTTCCAATCTCAAGTAATCTTTCGTGATAACACAGTCTTTTTTGTTTCAACTGTTTGCAGTAGAAGAGCCTCTGACAGGACGTTTACAGGAAATTACTCGTCAAGTGCACTCGTGAAACTTTGTTTATAGAAAGAAATGACAAATCTTCCTTTGGCTTAGACTTTGTCGAATCTACACACTGCATAGTGTCATCCTTACTAGGTGCATATTAGCACAGCATAGAAGAGTTTGAATGGTATCAGCTTTGTCAGCACAAATCTTAAACATTTATTTTTGAGTCCAGGTTTTGGAATAAAACAAAAACTTAAATGCACATCAGGTCATATCTCTTACCTATACAACTACCATGCAAATAGAGTAAAGACAATGTGTGTCTCTTTGGCAAAAAATAACCTAAAAACACCCAACAAGATTTCAAGCTGTGAACTCTGCAGGCATTAATACTTCAATGTGTTAACCAAAACAAAACCACATGACCCATCACCTCTGCAGCACATTTTCCTCCCACAGCTAAAGCTTGAGTAAGATGAGTGTTCACACAACCACTTGGAGTGGCAAGTGTTTGGTTTCACAAGCTGCTAAGTCGGGGGAAATCTTGATGAATGCATGAAATATTAAATATAATAAATTCTCATGCATATCAAAGATAAGCGGAAGAACTATCTTTTAAATGGATACGTTTAAATGTAGGGATAAACTTCTCATTCTTTCTTTTGCACTGATCAAGGTTTGCAGATAAAAAATGTGTCAAAAGATCCACTGAGGGCTGCTGTGGTATCTCTCATAATCTCTGTGCTGTACAGGGTGTACCTTTGACTCACATTTTTCCATTGCTGCAAAACAAGAAAACTCCTACATCAAAATATGATCCAGACAGCCTTACTGCACCAAACAATGAATCATGTTCATTTTAAAGATGTAGCCTGTTTGGTAAAGTCCTTCAGCCGTATTTACGGAAAGGCTGAACTTGTAGATAGATCAGCTTTGATATAATCTGTACTAATCTTAACCACCTGTCTTACCTAGAGATGGGGATCTGCAGCCGTTTCTTACGAATTCGCACCAGTTCAGCCATTCCACACTCAAGCTGTGCACAAATGGACCCCAGAGTTCAATAAAAAAACAATAACAGGATGAACAAGGAAAATTATTGCAGAGAAGTAGTAAGCAGAAAAGTTCTCCAAACCACCAACGCAAACTTTGTGTGTCCTGAGACAGACTTCTGTTCAACAGCTCTCCCACCCACTTCTGGGGGGACCTACTCTACTTCACTCTGATTGGTTAAGCAGGCCCAAACTGTGTCAGTGTGTGTGTGTGTGTGTGTGTGTGTGTGTGTGTGTGTGTGTGTGTGTGTGTGTGTGTGAGTGAGCGAGTGAGTGTTTGTGTATATGTGTACACCCGTTGTGTGAAGTGTGAGTGAGTTGACCTCACTCACTGATGAAGTGTTGACTGCGAGGCTTTCAAGCCATGTGTACTCAAATCCCAAATGAGAATTTTCCAACGCAGCCGCAAATTAGGGAACTACACAGAGAGTCTTTCACTGAAACCCACCAGAGTCACCAAAACCAAAATACATAAACAAAGCTTGTCCTCGAAAACCACCCACAACAGCCCAATAGGTTAACTGCTGTTCTCGATATTGCCGTGTGAAATGTGATAGGCAAAACCACATGCACTCTTAGAGTTAAAATAATATTTCTTTGACTGCTTTCACAGGTTGCATCTTATTTCACTGCTGTTTTTGCTGAAGATTATTGTCCACAAAACTCAACATGCAAAGAAAAATAAAAATAAATGTCTGCTGTTTTCTAAGTAGTAAAGAGAGTATGTCTGGCAAAAAAAAAAAAAAATGTTTGTGTCCATTGAAACACCAAAAAAGGAAAGCACACATACCTACAAGATCAGACAAGACAATGAATGTCATCCCTAAACACTTTTACAGTTCTAAGGTACTAAATTCATTACTAGTCTTTATTTATAGAGTATTGTGAGAGCTGCACTACAACGTGGCTTGGGAAAGCCCCTGCCTGCAGCCTGCCTCCCTCCTTGCTTGTCCTGCTTTGACTGCTGGGTCAGACTGACTCTCATGCTCCCATGCTCTTTGACATGGCACAACGTATTGCAAAAATGAAGACAAGTAACATGACAACGTCTAATTCTCCATCTACTTTGTCACTTTGAGCTGGTTTGTATTCACCAAATGCAATGTTTAATGTGGAGGAGAAAGAGAATCAACACATGGGAATGCCAGAGAATGATTCGTATTCATACTGTGATGTCAATTAAAAATGTAAATTAAGGCCTACAGAGGAGCAATTCTTGAATCTAGTGTCACTTAAACCCTTAAAAAACTTCCCTTTGTGTGCTTGCCAGCCTTTTGCTTCACACTGTTTTGTTTTTCCTCCATTCATCCGTTATCCTCTCAGTCTCCCTCTGATGATGACGAACGTACACCCTCTGATCTCTTTCTGTCCACTCAGAGACCTAAGCCAATTATTACTCACAAGCTCTACACTTCAGAGGGAGATCTCTGACTTTGTGGCACCATAAATCACATCTAAATGTTGCGTGTCTCTGCATGGGAACTAGATGTTGAAGAGACAGAGGGTGCTGAGGGACGCAGACAGTGGTCATTTTTGTTTTTACAACAGCGGAATCAAATCCAAGTCAAAGGGTTTTTGACTACAGATCTCAAAGGGTAAATGTTTTATTATAACAAGTTTATCTGGTCTCTGGGATGAACCTCACATGCAATCAACCATCTGGATTTGATTAAAGTCTTGGTTCATCCCAATTCTGAAAAGAATATTATGTCACTTCATATGGTAGGATACTTAGCTGTGCAAATAGTCTTGGTTTCTTCTGTTTATTTTATAAGTTTTCTGCCACCACCCCAGTACAAATCCACATGGAATTTTGTTTTGGTGTAATGAAAAATCACACTTAAACACTCAGTATAATCTCTCTTTCTATTCTATATCAGCTTTCATTGGAACTACCTTTTACCAAAGAAATAGTCACTCAACATTATCAACAGCGTGTCATGGCGTAACAAAGATACTGTTGTGGTTCTAGGGACGGCAATGACGGTCAGTCAGTCAGTCCACCACTTTGGCTGGGACTCAAATATCTCAAACACTACTGGATGTATTGCCGTGAAATCTTGTACAGACTTTCATAGTTCCCTGGAGAATGAATCTTACTGACTTTGATGATCCACTGACCTTTTTTTTTATCGGCATAAAATTTAGGATAGATATTAATAAATAATCTCTTCATTTTTATTTATCTTTTTTTTTTTTAAAGAAGCAGAAGTAATCTCCTAAAAAAGCTGGCTAGTGTAGCTATTTTCAGCCGCAGATTTATACACATTTTGTCCACTAAACTATAGTATTAAACATACAGAAGAACATGTCACCCAGTGCAACAGTGTGGCTCATGTATGTTTTTTTGGAGTTATTTTTCTCTTTTAGCTCAAAAACTATTGGATGGATTGACCACACAGGTTTGTTCAGAAATTCATAGTCCCCAGAGGATAATGACCCTCCCTGTAGCACCCCATGAGGTGGACATTTGTGTTTTTAAGTGAAATGTTTAAACAGCTACTGGATGGATTGCCATGCAATTTGGTCCAGAAGTTCATGTCCACCTCAGGATGAATAATATTTTAATCAAGCACCATCATCAGGTTGAAATGTTATTATTTTTTTATTTTTCCAGTACTTTAGTTTATGATGAAACACCTTCAAAACTAGTGCCATAGTGTTTTAGCAAATAGTTTGTTACCAAATTCCTTGCTGATGTAACAGTTTGGGTCTGTGTTTCTTGGTTGAGCTAATGCTTCAAGAGATTGGAAAAAGACGGAAACCACAGACGACGATTCTGTGGTTTTAACAATAGTCTTTATTACTAACTCTTCAGCCTTATCATGCTTCTGTCATACCTAGGCAACACAGTCTCTTAAAGGCACATTTCACAATTTTGCTTGTCATACTAAGATGCTAAAACAAAGATTTACACATGTAAAATATCAGCATGTTAGCATTGTTATTATGAGCATGTTGCAAACTTACTACATTAGCTTAAGTGCAAGTTCATCTCTTTACAGTTCAGTTCATCTCCTTACTGGAATGACGACAGAAATCTCAAACAGTCCTAAAAACCTGGACAAATAAAACCGAAGCATATGTGCATATGGCAAAATTAGATTTTTTTTCTGTAATTTGAGTGAAGTTTAAATAATATGCAGTGTACACTGTTTTATTTCTCTTCTAAATCATAAATCCACACATATAAACAGTAAAATCAATGAGAAAATCTGTATTTCTTTTTTGTTTGTTTTTTGTAATTTGACAGAAAAAATCTATTATCATTGATCCTGCATCTTCTTGGCCGAAAGCAACCTGAGAATGTTACTGAAAACTGTCCAACCAGCAGATTTACAGAAATTATAATTCTTTTATGTAAGTAAATTAATGCAAGAACAGTAAGAAAAATAAAACATGAAAGGCAGTCTTACCGTTCCAGTGTGGTCCTCCATGTCACAAGACTTAGATGTCTATCAGCTGCTTTGTGTATCTTGCAAGTTGGTGTCATGACCTCTGGACGCTGCTGAAGACCATGTGTGTGACTGAAAGCGTTAAAGAGATACAGAATTAGCTTGTGTCTGACTGTGTTACAATAAATCCAGCATGTGTGATTGTCTTGTGTTTGAATGTGTGTATATAGAGCGGTAGTTTATGTTAATCTGTGCTGCTCTGTGTTTACACTCTCAGATACAGCTAGTATTGTATGTATACTGTATTTTGCAGTGTGTGTACAATATGTGTGAGTGTGTGTGCGTAATCCTCAGTGTCAGCCAGGAGAGGCTCTGTGTCACCAACACAATCGGCAGAGAGTCTTTATATCAGGACCAGAGTTTCCACCATTAACTGTCCTCAGTGTCTCGGGACAGAATCCACTGTGGAGTTGCAAGGGAATAGTTCACAACAGACACATATGATATCATTGTTATTATTACTAATATTAATATTACTTATATTACGTGGCTACACTACAGTGTAGTTGTAGGCATGTATATGGACATTTTAAGAATTTGTTAATGTTCAGTATTTATCAACACTTATAACCCTTATTACCCTATAAAGACATAGTTTATATTATTACAACTGTGTTTTACTATATTGCCATTCATTATCTGTTTATACTCCAGCCTCCACTTATGGGTGCCCACAGGAGGCGTATACACACTTATATTTGCTTACAACTGCCTCCTGGTGTGTTATAAACCATTTATGAAATGTCAATATACTGCTAATAAATTCTAAATAGTAAGAAGGAAAGGAAAAACTCCAATGAAATCTTTAACAGTAAGAAGAAATGAAAGGCTCTCACAAGAAAGGTGCGGCTTGTTGATGCCTAATGGGAAGCATGATGAAATAAGGATGAGCAAACCTCTCAACTGATATCTGGCTGTTCCCTCGGCACATAACAGAAATAATATATAAAAGAAAAAATTTTTACACATTGGATCTTATTTTTGTAGTTTTGTCTATTATTGGCCATAATTCATTTTCCCCCCAGTGGCACATTATATACTTAAATATCCAGGGTTTTTTTAGTCTGTGGGACTTTAACCTTTTATAAATGCAAAAACAACGAATACATGCACCCTCACTCATACAGTTTAATTTTTTATTTAATTTTGTTTGTGACTTTGGATGTAATTTGTTCTGTTCTGTTTTTAGGATATGTCATTTGTTCACACATGAATGCTCATCCGTGTATTCACGTAAGTGTTGCCTGTACTGGGAATTGAACCTCTTGCGCTCTTCTGAGAAGGATGGGTCCCTTCACACATGCACACACACACACAGACACACACAGAGTACGTAAACGGATGTGAACGTCCATATCTCCAGTGTGGCAACCAAACGGATGTAGCTGCAGAATAGGGTGAGATGGGAGGGAGGGAGAGAAGTAAAAGGGAGAAGGACAGTGCTGGTTGCAAAATAAAACCATTAAAGGGGCATCTAAAATTAGCAACAAGCACTTTCAGTTCTGCAAAACTGGAGTGCATCATTTAAATTGAACATGAAAAATGAAGAGGACAAGACTCTCATCCAGGGAGGAAGGATGGGAGGGTATTCAGGGTGAAGGACAGATTGGAAATAGATGAGGAACACTTGTTGAATACAGACCAAAAAGAAAACAAATAGTTTTTTGTTATCATCTTTATTAGTAGAAAATGTTTTACACCAACTATTAATACAGTAAATTTAATATTAAAAATATTAATAAATGTGGTTAGATTCTAAACATATTTAAAAACACTTGTTTCTGTCTTGGCGCTTATGGTGTCTGGCACTGATGTGTAAAATATGAAAAGAATGTTAGAGAATATACCTGATTTATATTTGAATTATTCAAGCTGAAATTGGCTAATACAGCAGTGATAAATCTACACTATATTGCTGGCAGATAAGACTATAAAAGCAAGTCTACAGTTTGTCAAATGTAATGTGGGTACAGTAAGAGCTGACTCACAGGAAGCATTATCAACACTAACTGGGATAATACTAATGAAAATAAAACATGTGTGCTCATCAATAGTCTCTTGGATAAATAAAGGTTAAATTAAAAGTATTTAACAATGCGGTCAGCCCAGAGTGACGATGAAGGACCTGTACACCTCTCTGTAGGCATTTCGGAGCAGAACATACGGAAAGCAGCTCTCCAGCATGTCTTGACTCAAGAACGGAGATTCCTCCACAATCTGAATGAATCAATGTTGAAAGGATAAAACTGAAGTTATTCTGTGTTTTTCTTACTGTCAACAAATCCCATTAAAATATATAACACCAGTCTTATATTTGCATGACAATCATTTTCTATGACACAAAATTACTTTAATATATTTTGTGGATTTCATAACATTAATACCATTTATTCTCTTCTTACTTTATTTAAATGTAGTATCCACTTTAAAGTATGCCATTATAATAAATGGTTTATAAGATGTCCTTAATGACTTAATTGTTAATCATTCATTTAGTAGTGCTTTAAAGATAAGGAATAAGCCATTATAGAGACACTGCAGGCGTGATGGCTTCTTGTAAAGAGAAAAATCTCAGTTAATGAGGGGTAAAATGTTTTTCCAGCAGGCAATTTATAAACCTACTTAGGGCTTTTTGTAAATTTGAAAATACACAATTATAATTGTACTGGCAAACCTACCATGTGTAGGAGCAGGTAGATGGACTCTCGGTTTTTGCTCTCCATTCTTTCCACATTTTGTCCCAACTGAAGCAGAGTGGAGGAGGCCATCTGTGGAATAACACAAAGTTAGAAAAAGGCAAATCAAACAACTGGAACGTTTTTACACTGGTGGACTCGACCTCAAGTGGGGCAAAGGTTGGCAGAGTCTTGAGAAAGCTCTTTAAGTGAAATATTGTCAGAGTAGTGTGTCCAGGAAACCACTTATCCCTCGTCATATGCCTATTGCATTTATGACTTTTTCTTTGTATCCTGCCACAATCATCATGTTTTCTGTTAAGCTATTTATTAAATCAGTGCTCCCCAACCTTTTTGCTTGTCTACCTTAGACCCCTCATCAGCACAGTTCAACTGAGAGTGATTTTCTCTTCTAAGGCTTTCTTGTTCAGTTTTTAGAGGCCTGAAGAGGTAAAACTTAACTGAAAAAAAGGTTAGATAAAAGTCTGAAATATAAAACATAATATTAAAGTAGATTCATCTTGTAACCATTATATTCATTTACCTTTTTTAAATTGAAATGGTCAGAAACTTAATAAAAATCCACTCACCAGGAGAAACTCTTTAAGCTGCTGCGCAATATTCTTGTTCTGAACAGTGAACATGGCAGCAGCCAGCTGGTTGATAGCCGTAGCTAAACAGTGGATGTTGTTGTTGTGGCCTGAGAAGATAAAAACACAAAATTCAACACTGAAAGATAGAAATAATAGAATAACATGTCCTGTAACTTTAGCCACAGAGAGGATGTTTCTGTTATCCGACAATTAGAAAAAATTTACTTAATGATCCGTAACTGCTCACAGGGTAAATCTATTTCAGAAGTATGCCAATGGAAAATAGAGACAAAGAAAATAATCTGAGACTAACGCCACCCTGTGCTTTGATAAAAATCTTGGCTATTTGCTGCTCTTAATGTTGTCGTCCAGGCTCGGAGCCAAGCGGTTAGGGTCAGCAGGGCCACATGCCAAGAGTAACTGTATCAATGCACGTCAGCCGAAGTTATCTGTAAACAAAAGTCTCTCAACAGAAACGTGTTTCTCATTAACTAACATACTTTGCTTTGGACCAAGTCAGTCAGAATGGAAAGTATGATACACAGAGATGCTAATAAGCCTTGTGTTTCAGGGTGGAGCACCTTTTTTAGACACTATCAGCAGCTGGTCAGTAATGGCTGGAAGAAGTAGTGATTAGTATTTGGTAGAGGGCTGTCTGGAGACTAATTACTGTCAAGCAGTTTGTAGCAGATGGAAATGAATGAATGAATATGCACCTCCATGCTCCCGGCTATAGAGAGAGTTGGGGTCCAGGGCCAGGGTAGGCAGGGACACAGCGATGTAGGCCAGCAGCAAACAGGACAGCTTGTACTCCTCATCAACTGACGTGTTATCTAAAAAGGAAACATTAAAAGGATGAGAGAACAACCTCTTTTCCTGACAACTAAGCCATTAGAGCACGCTGTCTACAGAAGTGGCACTAATAGCTTTAGTGTTACCTGTCTGCATATTGGCAATAGCTGTGACGAGGGTTGGATCAATATCGCATGTGTACCCTGCAGCAGAAGCCAGCTCAAAAATGCTTAGAGTCACCTGTAAGATCAAAAAGGATGAAAGGAAGTGCAGCTAAAACAGGCAGTTGCATAATGCAGACATGAAGTGAAATTTAAATTTAATGCACCATTTAAATTTTCATTTTGTTGCATCGTATTGCCCCATGCTGAGAAACACCATGAAAACACAGCCAGCAGGGTGCTGATCTACACTAGTATGTAGTAACATACTTTATATTCTCTAAGGAGTGACACTAAATCAGTGGTGGGTGTCTTTGTCTTGACACAAAGGTTTTGATCTTGCCCTATTTCTAGTTTCATGCATGGCTGGCCTGTCTGGGCAGAATGTTTCCACTGATGTGGTTTAGAGTGCAGAGCTGCAGCAGCGATCAGAGTCTCTCTCACGGAGGCATGAGGGGGCTGCTGACGTCTTTGGGGTTATCCTGGCCCCGGTTGTGGCACGGCTGTCATGCCTCACTCAGAGGCCAGACGTAAGTAAGGGAGGGGGAGTTCATGAGTCACAGTCGCACAGATTGCTCCAGAGGGAGATAAGGAATTTAATTTGGTTGGTACTAGAGAATATAAAAAATGTGTTGCAACTCTCCCACTCAGATCTACTGGTGCACTGTTGTCTATTATTTAAATAGATTACATTCTGCCACACATTGTGCTACAGTATATTGGGCATTCTTAACCTAACATGGCAATCAGTCAATTCCCCAAAGTATCAAATGTAAATACATTTGGATTAATGTAAATACAGTAATATGCTATCAACCTAAATTCTCCCACAATAAGTTGTCCCTGTGAAAATAAACTCTTAATATGCGGTTGATAAACTGTGATGGGATGATGGATATACAGGGAAACTTAAATCCCTCTGTGGGATTTCAACACATAGATGCATTTTTTACAGTGCATAGAGTGGTATAAAAGCTGTGTTTTACCTTGATGTCATCTTCAGGGGAGATGAAGTCTCTCAGGCACTCGATGGGCCCCATTAGATATGGGCAATGCTTCAGCAGGATCTAGATATGACACAATATTACGGAGATCATACATAATAAAGGAAAGACCTTCATATGTCAAGTGGTCAAGGGCCGTTTTCTTCTAGCTATATATAATATGAGATTAGGAACACATGGAACCATAATTCACCTGTAATGTTTATTTATTTATATCTGTACACTTTTGGTTGCATTCTTCATTGAATGGTTTTGTTGTTTTAAATATTGAGACTGGGGATAAAAAGGAACACTGCAGGATAATAATGTGTCCGATTAGAAATAAGGTTGATCAGACAATAATCTGTGATTCCCATTGTCGTTGTTTCTTTTAATAAACTAAAACTAGCTTCAACTTTCACCCAAAAAGATAGAAAATCATAACTCAAGGTCCACTTACTAGATTTTTTCCAGAGTTTTCAGCTGTATGGAACTTCAGTCATATAACAACTGATGGTCGTATATAACTCGAAGAGTAAGTTTGTAAGTGAACCTAGAGATATTTCTAAAACAAACACTATTCCCAAGGGCAAGAATGAATGAACTCTTAATTTTAATTGTCCTAATTTATAAAGTATCACATTATCTTGTCTGTTGTACCTACACTGTATTACAAACACTTATCAAATATCAAATATCTAAGAGTTTTATATTATCATCAAATCTTATTGGCCATTACGTCTTTCAGGCAGTCCTGTGCCATTGATCTGAAGGACAGGATCACCCCGATGATGGTCATCCTCTTCAGCACGTTCTCTCCACCTTGAAGTGCATATGAAACAGATCAGAGGCTCGCTGTTGTATGTAAAGCAGTGTCCTTTAGTACAACACTGTGAGTGAATGTGTGACTAGTTGCGTATCACTGGGAAAATAATATTATCATTCTTAAGTGTCTGACAGCTCACCTGGTTATTTGCACTTCAATTACTTTCTGATACTTTGGGTGCTAAGAAAACAAGAGTATCGTTCTAGGAAATGTTGGCAAAGTAATAAGATTATAAATTCTTATTATTACTTTTTATGAGCTTTGTAGAGAGATTTATAAAATATAAATGTTAATGTACTGCTGAATTTAGTCTTTGCATATAAGTACGCTAAATTGTGCTTCTTCATCATTCTTTTTATTAAATTATTAGCAATAATTCAACACACGCTTCAGGCTCTGCCCCGTCAGCACACTTTTGCTAATGATTAAATAGAAAACTGTAACTGCATCAGATCTTTTTGACAACATCTCAATATTAGTATGTATTTAAAGGACCAGTCAGTAGGAGTTAGTGGCATCTAGTGGTGTAGTTGCAGACTGCAACTTCATCATTTTCTAAGTTGCGAAGGAGAAACTACGGTGGCCACGAAAACGTACAAAAAACCACAGAACAACCCTATTTAGAGCCTGTGTTTGGTTTGTCCATTCTAGGCTACTATGGCAATTTAAAATGGAATGTGACCTGCGGCGTCTGTAGATATAAATGGCTCACTCTAAGGTAACAAAAATACAAAGATTTTCAAGTGATTATACACTAATGAAAACATAGTTATGCATATTATATTCCATTTCTGCCAATAGATCCTCCATAATATTACACACTGGACCTTTAACTCAATTTCATGGTTGTCTCTATATTAAAAATCTTACAGAAGTCCACATATGGTATATTCAGGATAGCTTATCCAATCCTCATAAGTGTTCAAAAAACATGTTTGATGTATTGAATTAATAAGATCATTTTAGAAGACTAAAGTCATGTTAGCCGACAGTTAAAATGTGGTGTACAAAGAACACGGTCCTGCTTGCAAACTCAAGATATGTCAATCAGTATAGAAAGGATAATCACTTCTGCTTCGAATGTGATTCATGTATGCTCTGTTTTCTTGTTATTGCTCCTCTTTTTAATGTCGTCATGTTCCTTTTTCTCCTCCTGCCTGCCTTTCTCGGAACCTTTTATAAATTTTTTTTCTTTCAATCCATTACCTCTTCCTTCACCTCCTCCTCCTATCTCCTCCTTCCCCCTCTCGATTTCTCACCTGTCAGCCTCTTTTTAAGATTGGCCATTTCCTCTGGCTTATCAAAGTTGTTCTTCATCTGTACCAGGACGTCCATATTCTCAATCACCAGTTTCTAACATAAGAGAAGGAAGTGAAATAAGTGACAAACACCCCTTCAGGTGGGAGATATAATGGAGAGAGGTCATAGCTGTGACAGATCTGTCTCTCAGTAAGTTCAGAGCTCCAGCTCCTCTTCCTCTTCAATCATAGGTGTCAAAGTGGGGAGTCTGACACAGTACAGCACTACTAACTGGTTTTCTGTATGTGAGGATCAACTGGTATCTGGTAACTGAAGCACAATAATGCTTCTACATGCACCCATTTCCCTGCTAAATGAGGAAAAGGAATAAAGTCATTCTAATTTATTTTCTTCACTAGAATGTATCTTCTAGTGAAGGAAATATTCATATGCTTTAGTGCACTCACAGATTTGACTATACCGTAACTGCTGAAATGTTTTGACACAGATTGTTATACTTATATAAATATATTATGTATACAATTTCATAATGTATGAAGAAATGTATAATGAATAACTTTGTGCGCACTCTGGCTTTGCCATTTGTATGCCAGAGAGCTAACGTAAAGGCTAGCTGGTTGGAATAAGCGTGTAAAATGATTGTATTACATCTTTTTTTCCTCAACTACACTGTGTCTGATCAAACTGCAACCTCCATGGCTGGCAAATGAAGCCAACATGGAAGTACAAAAGACGGTTTTGGTCCCAGTGGGTGACGTCACAGAGACTTCATCCATCTTTCAATTATACAGTCTATGCTTCTGATGTTACTATGCCTTTGTAGTGCAGTTAAGTTTCCCCACTACATACAAATCAGTTTTCAAAGCCTACAGATAATTCATTAGGCCACTGATCTGCGTCCTTTGCTTCATACTGTACCTTCAGCTCACTGATTTGAGAGGTGATGTGCCACATCAGGTTCTCACTCAGAAACTTCAGGCCATATGGACCAATTAGCTCCGCCAGGGCCTGTAACTCTGTTCAGAAGGTGATATGAATAATTTAAGAATCATGATTGGACGAGGGATCAACAGAAGCTTAAATTGAAGTTGATGTCAAGCAGCCAAGCATGTTTACAAAAATGCATAACAAGAACCAGGCTCATGTGGAGATGTTTGTTTCCAGTGTGGTGTTTCTACATTAATCTGATACAGAGCTTCTCTCTATCTCTCTATCTATCTAAAAATACTAAAGGACACTGATTAAATCGAAATCTGTGATTGTAGCTGAATCAATGAAAGAGAGACCACTGCAGCTATTAGATTTCACTTAGCTCAACATCTCCTAAATATGGATAGATAAGAATGTGTGTGGTTAAAATTGGAGGTGGTTAATGGATGGGCAAGTGAGTCACTGTGAGGCAGGCAGATACCTCGCTAAGGAGTAAATATAGACAACGATGATGACGTTGTGAGGGGGCGTCTATTGAAGTGCAGTGGTCTCCAAGGCACTGTGTGTGCATGCCTTATGAATACGTCTCTGAGTGTAGATGTGTATAATCTTTGCTCGTTTGTGCATGAGCTTATGTCTGTAGTGGAAGGATTATAGCCTTAATACAGCCACATCTTCTGCTCCTACAAGGTATTATGGAGTTAGGAAGGGAGGTGATGTGGAGGAGAGACAAGTGATGCTGGAATAGTTATGAGGCAGGGACAGAAGAGCGGGGGAGATGATAAGCAATACTGAACTTTACATTAGCCAGGCAGTGTCAGAGTAAACTGCATGACAGGCAGTGTGAAAGAAAACACCGCACACCCCCACAATAACAAGCTCCACATCCTCTTGAGCAATAATTCTCCCTCTGCATGTGGTGTCGCAGGAGTGAACGAGACCTGCCAAGTTGTGCCTTTTGAAAAGAGTGAGTCATCTCTTGGATCTGTGGGCCCTTGATTGGTCGAACCTTAGAGTGGAGGGGAACTTCTTGATTCTGTCAAGTGTAAAACCATGTGTCTGCAAAAAGTGAAATTTGTGGAAAACATTTCTTCTGGCACGTGTCAGGCAAACATTCTCATAGAAAATAATCTGTTGCAAGGTGTTGCAGGAGCTTAGATGCATGAAATTAGAGTACAAAATGGAAAAGTTCATAGTAAACCTCTCCCAAAAGTTAGAGTTGTCGCCATGGATACTAAACTCTGCATGTCACTGATGACTGTCATCTGAATTACTTTAGCCTATGATGCAGCATGCAATGAGGGCTTCGTATTATTTGTCCCTCCTTTCCATTGTCAGCAAAGGTGATAATATTTTGTTATCAGAGCTGTGAGCATTCATCCATGTCATGAGAGATGTATCTTAGGGTTTATATTGACGTACTGACTTACGCTACAGATTAAACGACTGTAGACTCTGGAGCTGACCTGATATATCTGAGAACTCCTCTGCTCTGAAACTTGGGTCGTTGTCAGTAGTCTGGTTGACAAAGCAGTGCATCGTAGGACAGTGGACGATGAGGGAATTGCTGGCCTGACGCAAGAGACTCTCCAGGTACCTGGAGTGCAGAAAATAACAAACAAATATAATAAAACTTTATCAGCCTTTACATGAAAGATGTTTGAAGGAGGCAAAGGAAGCAAAGCAGATAGAAAAACTAGGAGAGGATGTACTTGGCCTTGTACCCCACCTGCTGTGCTATATTCATGCATGCTTCCTGTGCCTTTCTGAGTATGATGGTTGTCTACATGTCATTGAATATATATTTGGATATAGGTGTTTTAAATGGATGTGGCATACACTAGATACACCTATATAGTACACACACCAGTTTGTGTAGAGGGTTGTCATGGTCGGCCCTCCACGTGAGTCCAGCGGCTGTGTTTGTTGCAGCAGGACGCTCTTCACCAGCCGGGTGACGTCCACATTGATGTAGCCGGAGAGGCTGTGCAAGCTGGCTGTATAGGCTCTTAACTTCGTCAGGAGGTCCGAGGGACGGGCTATCTCCTGGGTGGTCTGATTGTAATTGGCCATTCTCACGATTATCCTGGAGAAACACATTTAACCAACGTCAGTTATCACCAGGCCAGGGTGGACTGAGGGCGGACAGATGGGACCTTAAAACTGGTTAAACGAGCCATGGTGGCATGGTACTATACTCTCATTAGGTCAGCACATTCACTGCTTCAGGGCTTCACTCCAATTTTATTTATTTATTGTCAGGGCCCCTCACTCTCTCTCTTTCTCTCCCCGACTAGACTGTATTTACAATTTTCATGGAAGGACCAATCACTGGAGCATGCTGCTATTCAAAGGGCACTAATTTTAGGGTGACAGGGGAGATAATCATCAGCTAAGACGGGGAGACTAAGCAGAGCATATACACAGAAACATTAGGTTGCCCTGGTACCAATCCCTAATCTAAATAACAGTTAGCACTGAAATGACACAGAGCAAGGGAGTGACATGATGGATCTCTTCTCAGATTTTTAAGTGGGTGCAGCACAGCCTGACACAGAGGAATCAGATAGTAAAAGCAGGGTTCATTATAGTGATGGAGGAGACATTTCACAAGCAACAAGCTCCAAATGATCCCCCTAATTGTAAGGAGGACTGTGTGCCAAACTGAAAATGAGTGACAGTTTGGGGAAAATGCAGCTTGAGATCCTTTTGAGCTTTTCCAAGTGCTCTGTCACATCCTGGTCAGTGGGTTTAACTTTTCCACAGCCCCTGTTCAGCATGTTGGTTAGCCTACTGGACAGTATGTATGCGAGTATTCACACAATGAGTTAGCAGTATAAAATATATTAATACACTGAGGCAATTGTATAGCACATTTACACACTGGCAGATTAAACAATATTGGGTGGACAAAATGTTCTTTTCACAATGAAAGCAGGCTGTCATGTCAGTAATCAGCATATTTCTGACAGTAATTGTGGAGATGCGGAAGTGACATATGCAAAAAAGAATTCTGGTCCACATGAAAGAGGAAGAGAATATTGCAATTGTCATCTCATGGACTGTTTATACGCCTTTAGGACTCATTATTCAGACAAATATAATAATGCCCCCGTCCCCACACAGCATACTCAGAGAGGCGTATCTCCAGATGAGAAAGGAGGAACTCTGTGGGAACGATGATGTGGTCGAAGACAATAAAGTCACTGCAGAGGCTGAAGCAGGTGCACAGCTCTGTCAGCATCAGATGCATCTTGTCCACACTAGGAGATGAGGGAGAAAGAGAGAGAGAAGAGAGGATGCAAGTCTTTAGGAACTCAGACAAATAAGGTAATAAACATGTTGGAGAATTGTAAAACATCTCCAAACTGAGACAGCAGGGAGGAAAACTGAGAGGAGTGAGAGAGAGACAGAATTACAACATTTCAGACTAAATTAGTGAGCTTTCTAACTGCAGCTATATACAGAATATGATGAAAACGATGAAAACACCAACATAAAATGTTCTGCTAGTAAAAGTGTTCATTTAATATGTTGAGGCGTTTTGTTTCAAATTTTAATAGCTTGGTTTAGTGCCAGTCAATCCTGATTGATTCAACTTGAAGGGTAATAAAGTTTAGAAAAAATAATGCCTTGCAGGCAAGAGCATTTTAATCCTGCCTTCGGGATAACGGGTGTCATGGGGTGAAGGAAATCATTTGAAAATGTCAGCAGGTATTACATTTTTTTGACAACATGAACTGCATTAGCCTAATTCTCACCTTTGCAAATCAGAATTGTACACTGTGAAATGCTCATTTAACTGCCCTTTGACCTAAACATGTGCTGTTCCTAATGCTGCATTTCTCCAGAAATCAGGGATATATTAATCACACTCACTTTTCTAAACTTCTGCCAAGTCAGTATAATTACTGAAGAGTGAGATAAAGAGAGAAAAAAGATGATAATAAAAGAAAAGCTGACTTAGTGACGACACTCCGGTCTTTCCTCAAGCTTTCAGCGCCTGGCTTCTCTTTCTGGACCTCTCCTTTCTTTGGCACAGGCTTCTTTTGCTTTCTATGGCGAGCTGCGCTGATGGTCTCAGCACAGTGCTTGGGCTGCAACTAAGGGGTTATCAAGTGAAAAGGGAGGATGCAGAGAAGAAGAAGGAGAGAAAGAAAGAGAAGAAAGACAGAGGGAGGAAGAATTCAGTCCAGCAGATATTGGGTAACATGCTCAAAGACAAACATGGGAAATTGCATTGGAAGTATTTAAAAGGTAAACACTTTGGTCATATTTTCCTCAAGGGATTAGAGAAACAACACTGCATTAATAAACTCTAGAGTTTTAGACCTGTCTTATCATTTTACAAAGTCTGTCCTCTGCCTCCAGCTAAACTCACTGATGGCAAGCTGTGACTACTATGATTATATTTGGATATGGAGTTTGGCAGAATCAATCTGTGCTACAAAATTAGTTTTTAACAAAATAGACTCAGACTTCACCTGGTCATTGAGGTTGCATTGCTCAGCGCATATCTCTAACACAACAGTGCTGGTCAGCTTGGCTATCTGCTCCAGGAAGGTCACACACAGGCGCAGACTCCTCTTCTCCATTGCCTCTATCTACACACACAAAGAAGTGCAGTATGTGTATGAGTGTGCACATACGTACGACACAGTTACGAATGTATGAAGGCACAGAGAATTGCCTCCCTGAACACACACATACACACAGAAAATTGAAAATCATATTTTCTTTCATAGGTTCCCTACTTACATTTAGCTTACTGCTTACTATATTGGAAGTGTTTAAAACAGAGGGTATATCCTTACTTAGAATATCTCTTGTTTCTCAGTTGCAGTATAAAGTCAAAGAAGTTGCCATGAATGGAGAACATTACTTGTTGCTTTCATGATATAGCTGGTGACAAAAAGTGCTAGGAATCAAACCAGTGTATTCACCGCTTCTGATGATTAATAGCTTGGTCAGAAAATGACTGAACACTGACCTCTTCTGGGCAGATAGGGTGCCCACACTGGCTGAAGTGAGTGCAGACTAATGGGAAGGCCATGAGGTAACGCTTCATGGTCATCTCCTCGCTGCTCTGGCAAAACATCTTCTCAAAGACACGCGGGTAAAAGCTGAGAAACAACACAAAGAATTTAACCTTGGAAAAGAAGAGAAGAGAAGAGAAGAGAAAAGAAGAGAAGAAAAGACACTGACCAGAGTATGGACACCTCAGATGTCTCCTGCAGAAGTTCTTCCACACTGTCCACCATCCTGGTGTGAAACTGAATCATGTTCATCACCTTCGCTAAGTCAGTGTAGTCCTTTATTGGAAGAGGGGCCTTGTTCACACTTGTGTAGGCCTAAAACAAAAGATAAAGAAAACTGTAGGGTGGTATTCACCAAGTATTACAATGATAATTGAATATTGGGTGATATTTGATATCTTGCAAAAAACCTGCCTACCTGTAATCTCAACCAGTCCAGTCTAAGTGCTCTGAAGTCAAACTCCTCTTTGTTTTCCACTGCAGAGAGAAAAATGGAATACATCATTATTCAATTTAAATTCCTCATATTTTTACATAGAAAAAATTATTGCGTGTACACAAGCTAAGTTAATTATATAGTATTTGGTTGTGAGAACCTTGTTTGACTGACAGAGCAGACAGGTTGGAGACGAATGAACTCATCAGAACTGACTCCTCTTCTGGACACACATAAATGTTCTGCAGAGGAGAAAAAAGGGTTTCTAAATGTATACTGAAGAAGGAGGATAAGGGATACATTCAGTAATAAAAAAAAATAGTTGGTTTTCCCCTTTCACCCACTTTCTGCACGTCAGTTCATTAGAGAACACAACAGGATTTTAGCAGGATTTTATCTTGCACCTTTTACTGTATAGCACAAACACACATGCTCATATTATCTACCTATGTTATAGGTACCTGTATGGTGTCATTGAGCACCAAGGCATCAAACTGAGCCAAGTACTGGACATGGTAGCGCTGAACTACATGGTTGTACTTTTTCATCAGACCTCTTAACTTCTCCATGTAGAACAGCAGCTCTGCCATTTGACTGGAAAAAACATAACAAGCAAATTAATATCAAAAATATTTACTTTCTATTACCTTACATAATTAATGTTAGTACAAATAAGCCATTGTAAAATCTCTTCTGCATACTTAACGATAACTGCACTGCTCAAACCTCCTGTACATAGCTTCTGCACTGTTGAGAGACATCTCAAAGAGTGGCATTGCAGTGAAGGAGAACATGCTAGCTGCCAGATTTTTGCACACTAATATGACACAGTGGTTTATGTCCTCTGCTCCTATGACCTACTTGTCAATGTAGTCATCAGGCGTCTTTATCTTTGGCATATTCTCAGAGTGCCTGACGAGCCACAGGACCTCGTCACGGGAAAATGAGAGAGCCATGAAGACAAACAGGGCCTTGGGGATTTGATTGGCACACAGAACAGAGAAGAAAGAGGAATGTTAGGAAAGAGTCTCAGCTAAGATTGGTAAAAGTCATGATCACTATGAAATGAAGGGTCATTCAAAGGAATCCCCCCCCCTCCTATCAAAATATTCTCCAGAGTCCAAGATGTGTGCAGGATGGAAGCTGGATCAAAGATACCACTTTTTTAAGACATGTGACCAGAATTTCATTTTGGACTGACAACTTGTAATAACGAAATTATTTAAATTCCTCAAGCACAGTTTTTATCCTCATTATTGTACTTCTACCTTTGGTCCCAGAAGTCCAGGTTCATCCTCCAGAACTTTAAATAATTCCTTCAGCGCTCCTCTCAGAAAGTGTCTCCTCTCTCTGTGCATAGCTCCACTAACAATAACATAGGGAATGGACATGGATATTTGGTTCTCAAAGCTCATTTCAAACACATCAATAAGTATTTATAACACAAAAGTTGTAAAAACCTTGTTTCTTGACAGTCTTACCTGTTGACTAAAGCATGCTCACGACATTCCTTGATGTCTGCAATTCGCTTGCTATAGCTGACAAAAGCAAAGACAAAATGAATCAACAATTGCAATCAGAAGATAATTAACAATCAAAAACAATAAAGCAGTTATAGATGGATTAATTGCAACAGTCAAGCAATATCATGTATTTGCAGTGGAACCAGTTATCTTCTGAGACTAATGAAGATATATGAAAAAGTCTTAGATTGTAATCAGTAGGTGCTGTCTCTACAGTACTACAGCGCAGTGAAGTGAGAATGGCTTAAGATGCATTTTAAATCAGTTATCTCCTTTGTTAAAGGACCAGTGTATAGGATTTAGTTGCATCTAGCAGTGAATCTTCAGATTGGAATTAGCTGCACACCACTGGCGATCTGTATTTGGCAACCTGGGGATGAGAATGGGCTGTGAAGTGTGGGAGAAACTACAGTGGCAGCAGAATTTGTCTGTTTTGGGCTACTGATGAAACATGGCAGTTCAACAAAGCGGACTCCATGGAAGGCAACCCACAGCATATGTAGATAAAAACGACTTATTCTAAGCTTACAAGAACAATTCAGTTAATATATTGAGGTGATTATACACTAAATAAAACATACCTATGAATATTATATCCCATTCCTACCAATAGATTCTCCTAAATGTTACACACAAGACCAGGGTGCTTGCTTTATCTTGCATCCATTGCCTATTATCTTGTGTTTTAAATCTGTATTCAACTAGGACTTTTTCTTACAGTGTGGAGAGAGTACACTGTAGCAATGCAGCTCACATACCCTTTGAAGCAGTCGAAGAGGTCCTCAGAGACCTTGTGTATGTTGAGTACCTCATCTCTGGTGAGTGTGAGGTAGAGGCCACTCCGCAGAGCCATCTTCCACAGCTCTTGGGACGCCTGGTTTGTATTCAGGCTGGTGTGGCACAACAAGAAGCCGACTGCAAGGAGATTTTGATTTGAGTTTTCAATATATATTTTCAAGATGTTAAATGTACATAACCAAAATTGAATTTCTTGGAAATGTTTTGGATTGAATATTAGCTGCTATTCAAAGTAAAATCTTATGCCAATAGTCATTTATAAACATTTTTAACAGGCAGTGCCTCTAACGGGCGATTCTCTCACAAGTAACACTACTAAATGTGCTTTAGGTACAACAGGACAAACAATATTTAAATATACTTGCATAATGTTTCTATATTTGTATAAAGTTAGCATATAGAGGAACCAGGATGAGTAATACTTACTAATGATCCACCGCTCCATCACTTCCATGGACAGGTATTCACATGCCATCTATGGTGAACAACAAGCTTATTAACTGCTTGTTATTATAGCCACATTTACTAAAGCCTTACATATACTAAGATTATGAAGTAAAATCTTCCTGTCAGCCAATATAAACTGTAATGGTAGCCATTGTATTCTTGTTCCGGGCTTTAAAAGAGGAGATTCTGGGGATTATACACCATAAAATCGTCTGTATGTGATGCACATTACTTTTCCTTCCTGGAAATATTAACTATCATCCCTTAATGATTTTTAAGAAAATGAAAAACTGCACCAGAGACCAACCAGTGTTCTCTGTAGAATTTAAATGAGCCATCTTTTGCTTTAAAATATATTGTATCTTTTCATTTGTTGCCTGGAGGTCCCTTTCTTGGCTGGGCTAGTGGTTCTTTTATGAGGAAGCCAAAGGCAACAGAGATCATAACATTACATCAAAGGGGCTGTAATGGTCGAAGACAAAGCAGAGAGGATGACAGAGGACTGAACCATGCAGAAAAGGGAAATGGGTAGAAATAAAAGTTCAGGGAGGAGCAGAGAAGTCAAAAGACAATAAAACAAATCATGTTCTAAATGATAGCTCTATAATGGGAGGGCAGGGAAAATGGGACAGGGAGCTTCAAATGTTAATAGGGCTGTCTCTGACAATACATATATACTCTTATAGCATCTTTTGGCTGTGACAGCTTCTCTCATTCTGTGCCTGACATCACTGGTAAAACCATATTTTAAACACTACCGCCCTTCCTCTCTCTTTCTCCCTCTGCCAGAGATAAATACAGGAGGTGACGGGAAGGAAGACTCACAGTGTTGCAGCAGGCTGGTTCCAGCATGGCAGCTGGAGCACTGAGCAGGCTGAGGAGCTGGGCACTCCGCCACTGCTCTGCTGGCAGGTTCCTGCGTGGGTAGACCATATTCAGAGACACCAACGCCGCCGTCACCGACTAGGAGAGAGACAGCGAAAGAAGGAAAACACTGATTGAGGAAGCTGAAGAGTAAATAAAAGTGATTCATATTTTGTATTATTATTGTGTTATTTGTTTTGTATTAAGTTAGTCATGTGTAAAGCACTCCCAAGGTACAGCTCTAGTCTCTGGCAATCGTATGCTATGCATTTGCTTACTTTTGGTTGGGGGTTGATTTTCATGGTTTGGACTACAGGCCCCTTAGTTGCAGTTAAAGGAAGCCTTAGTTCAGCATATAATGATATTTTAGACAGTAGTGCTTTAATGGACCTGTGGCTGAATGGGAATCCAGTATCCAGGTCCCAAAATTGTGCGAAAAGCCTTACTAGAACAGTGGAGCATGTTAAAACCACACATAAATAATAATGGTTTTGGAATCTTCAGCTATCATATGTGGGTTTAATGTTTGGTGGCCATATAGCAAGTGTGTATCATTATTTTAATTTTTTAAATATGTGAAAATAAACAAAAATACAAAAATGTTGCTGCATTGATATTTGGAGTTAAATTGAACTGAACATTTTTGCCACCACCCACCTTCATCATCAAGTGTTTATGTGTCTTTGTACTGTATATGAACAGTGACACACTGAGCTTACCCTTGTGTGGGGGCCAAACTCCTCTGTGAGCTTCTTCCAAGGATGCTCATATTCCACAAACATCTGGCCAAGACGTGGGTAGGAGGGGTCACTGCAGGATTTATTACAGTATGCAATTAAACAACGCAGGGACAAGAAGACAGAAATGAACTAGGACATTATAATAATACAGCATTTGCCATATACTGAGCCAGTCTAGCATTACCTACAGGGATTTTACTGATGAATAAAAGGTTTCATAAATTCCATAATTTAATACGGCTTCGTTTTTTGGGTGGCTGAAACAATGAAGAGCTGAGACTGTTTCCCTCTCAAGGGGCTAGCTGTGTGTGTTGTGCAAGTCAAATGTGACATTAAAATGTTTGTGTTTGTGTTCCCTCCTCACGTCTCAACTGAGAAAGGCATCCTGTCTTTTTGGAGTATATAAATAGATATCATCCAAAGTGGGCGGACTCAAAATGTCAGACTTTGGCACTCAAAAAATTTTGGTGGTGGACTGTTTAATTAAAATTCTAATTAATCATCAGGATCTGAAAATTGTCGTATTGATGGATGTGGAAACTCATTATTAAAGCACTTAAAATTAAGTGATTGTCGTAGCTTGAAAACCACCCTTTGTTGAGTGAATGCTGCCTTGATTAATAAGGGTGAATACGTGGATATCCATTCATCCTTAGAATTGCACTGTACTCCATATACTCCACTTCAGCATCCATTAAGCATTTTCCTGTTTTCTCACCTGCTGCCATTGCTCATCTCATGGGCGCAGTTGAACATGCCCACCAGTGCCTTCTTGTCATCAATGCGAGACAGCGTTACGATAACAGACGTGTAGGTTATGATCAGATCCAAGTAGTTCTTGGTGAAGTCAAAGTTGATCGCCTGAAATCAAAATTTCAGTGTAGTCAGTGTCTCTGAAATTACTTACTATTCCTCTGAATACCACATTAGGACATTAGGACATACTGTAGATACAGTAGACCTATATGGAGACCTAAAAGAAAGACAATTATTGTCCAGTTATTCACTGTCATTCTCAGTTTGAGAATATCAAAATCTGTTTTTAGAGTTGACGAGTCAGCTCAAATCTTTTGACTATAAAACACACACACACACACACACACACACACCCTGCAGGCTTGTAAAATGGGAAGAGGAATTTAGCCATGATTTAGCAAAAATGTTATTATTATTATTACTATTATTATTATTATTATTATTATTATTATTATTATTACTTTCTCCCAACCTGAAAACCTGTCTCCAGATTATGATAGATTTGGGGTGAAATATTTCTTTATTATTTGTAAGTTTCAGGTTGTCTAAGGTGAATGCAAAATTTATTACAACTGCAAAAATTACAGCTTAAGTCGCCGTTGTGAGAAATGGGTCTGCCACAGATCACTGAAATATATAGTAGGATATACATAATGCACAAGACAAGAGGTGCCACTTTAATTATGATAATATAAAAAACTGACAAACTGAACAGGAGGAGGCTGGAGGCGGTGAAGAGAGAAAACACAACCTCAGTATGTAGCAGGAAAGAGTAAACAGCATAGTAGCAGCAGCGACAGAATGAAATACAAAAAAAGGAGAAATGAGTGGGAGACGCTTGTCCGATGATCAGCAGATGTTGTGCATGACTTCAGCATTTTACCTGATTTAAAACAATTACAAACCCCACAGTAAATACTTACAATATTAAAGAAGCATTGACAGGCGTCTATGGTGTTCAGCAGCTCATAAACGTGGTCCTGAATGAAGACCAGAGAGGGATTAGATTAAAAAACAGACAAAGACCCACACAACAACATGGCAACATTCAAAACTAGTTATGCCTCTAATGTGATTTCCTAAACTCAATATCATTTTCATAGATTCCTACAGCCTAATAATCATTACACATTTGCACATTTCCATAACATCATGATTGAGTTATTCTCAATCATACAAATACGGATGATGCCTTGGCCTGGCTGCGACCTCCATCACAGGAATATGCAAATGTGAAGGGAAGTATAACAAACTGTACCAAACCACAGTGAGCTAACTGTTCTTGATATTTGGAATAAAATCAATTATTTTCCTATACCAGAATAAACCACTCTACATGTAAATGTATTCTGTAAACAAAGATGTCTAAAATAATAGGTGTGCAGAAGGAAACAGAGAGAAAGAAAGAGAGATAATACCACAAATACCATCACTGTTCTTTATGATCAGATTTGTGTTTTCATATTTAAAGAATAATGTATATTTATTCTTAATTTTAATTCACTATTTGTTTATGTAGACAGTTGTTAGGTTAGGGTTAGTAATCTGAAATTTAAAACTAAAAGAAAGAAAGAAAGAAAGAGACAATCACCCTGAACTCTATGACATCCAGGAAAGAGTCATAGTAGCTTGCTGTGGCTGCCAACACTTCAGATTTCTGTCGCTGTATGCTCGTCAGATGTTGCTGCAATAAACAATAAAGACAACCACTCAAATGTGTAAATGAAACTAACAAATATATAAATATAGTATGGACACAATAACAGTTTTCAAAAGTCTGTTGTTTTCTAACCTCATAATAACATTTGTTTTCTTGAGATCAGGAGCAAAAGTCATAATGTTTTTAAGAGGTCTCACAATTATTATTCATTAACTGGAAACAAAAAAACCTTTTGTGTCAAACTCCAAAAATAATAATTTGATAATGACAACAAAACAACAACAAGCATGTCAAGGCAAAAAACAAACAAACAATGAAGCTTGTGCAAAAGTTGCAGTCATACTTACAATGTTTCCTCTGAAGTCAATGTTGGGGAATTTCTTGTTGATGTACTTGATGGCCGACTCCATGGCTTTATCTGTCAGGAAGGATGGTCGCAGCTTCGGGTCTGCACAGATCTGTAAGGGAGGAAATTATAAAGATGTGAGGATGTTATGTGGTCAGTTTGCTGAAGGGTTTTGTCATATCTCAGTTGACATTTCAAGCAGTAAATCCTTGATTTTTTAACACATTTTCATCAAGCCATCATGTTCTGTGGGTTTTCATTGTAAATGTTTAAAGCAAGCTTGTCAGAAGAAAGTCACTGAATCCTCAGACTGGCCGAGAAAATTGTGGGCAGAGTGAGTAATAATGCTTTCCCCACCTCCCTCGACAACCACTCTCAAGGTGACCTTGAGCAGGATAGTTAACATCAGACTCTTGTGGGGCTGTTTAGAAGCTGACAGTAGAGTGTGTAGCAGCTCCCAAGTGTGAAGTCTGACTGCAAAAAAAAAACTGCAAAAAAAAAAACTGCATGCATGCTCAGCACATCTTCACTGGGCATGGTTTTAGAATGTCTAAAAATAACTCTGTTCTTTCATTTCTCCTCCTGATAAAGACAACCACAACATGTGCATTGCTCATAGAGTCACAGACAGAATACAGTATGTTTTGTGCAGTACACAAATTATATTTACTCATGAGGAGAGTGTCACTTCCTGCTTGTCACATCGAGAAACGTCAGGGTTGTCAAAATAAACCAATCAGTCGTAGATGTAGTGTTAATAGTTAGGTAAGTTAATAGTTAATTAATAGTTAATCACATTACCTAATGTGTTCATTATACATTTTACTGGTATGTTTGCTTCTATTCTCATGTGTGGGTTTCTCAGCTTTGTGTTCAGAACAACTGACATTTGAGATGACTGACAGCTCAGACTGACTTCCTGTTTGCACTTCCTCTTAGGAGAAAGAAGCTCAGTTGCAGTTGGGAGACACAGCTACCTATTCTACTAAGCCAGTATATGCACAGAACACTTTTGTAAACAGTACACAGTGGTTACAATTATCTCACATAATTTCATTACCAGTTTGAGTTACAGCTACTGGAGAGTTTCTTGAATCTGAAAAACTTTACTGGGTGGTTTGCAGCCTTGTATTATTGGTGGTTTGCAACCATATAAGACTCTGTATAACTTTCAAGTATTACAGATTAAGTACTTTAACATGTTTTGCTTTATGCAATCATCATTCTTTGTATTGTAGATATAAATATAGATTGTTATATGTACAATCAAGCTCTCGCTTTTATGGAATCTGAAAATAGAAAATAATGCACACAACTCTGAGTATGATTACATTTATTCCTAAACTGTTAATAACTATGTACTGATGGGTTTACTCTTAGATGTATGTTTGTATTGTGTAACAATTGTAGACACATACAAATTCTAAAACAATCACCAAGCGTAAGACATGAAAGTCAAGTTCCTTATTTCTCGTTTCTGTTACACAGACTACTTGCCTCTATAAATCTTCCTACTCTCCCTCACCTTCTTAATGTAGTTCATGCGTATGAGCACCCCATTTCCTCTCTCATTGAGGATGCTGAGTTTTTCAGCCAGTTTCTGTTGGTAGTCCATTGCTCCAGGAACAGTGCACCCCTTCCTCCGTTCAAGCCTTGGCCTCCTGGTCCCGTGTAGCCGTTGAACCCGCGGAAACAAGTGCACCCAGAGCCTCACCCTGACTCTAAGTCACATGGGGCTCATGGTTGGAGGTGGAGCCATGAGTAGAGTTGGAATGAGTCATCATCCACATACTGTAACTGTTTGTGGAAAGTGGATTTTAATTTATTCATGGAAAAAAACTAAATCAATTCCTAACCAAAATTTTAAAAAATGTCCTATAATTACAAAAAGTTGGCATAAGAAGTGTCTTTGAATAAAAAAAATACTAAAATTTTTAACATAACTAATTACAGTTTCCACAGTTTATTGTATTATCCAACACTTTGATTTGATGCTGAACAGACAATGCATATTATCTATAATATTGTGTTGTGTAAATGAATAACATAGCATGTTTCCTGTCTGTTAAACGTATACTGCCTCTATTGTTGTGTGCAGTTTTAGCTACTTCCTCTTGCTCTGTAAAAAGACTCCTGTGAACAGGGATGACAGAAAGATACAAATGATTGTTGTTTTTAGCAGTAAAGATTAAATACAATACTTTTATAAGGTATAAAATAAGTCAGTAAAAAAAACAGGAAAAGTGATTAATTTTTCAACCATTTTTTAAAGGTCTGAATATTCAGTTCTAATCCACCACAAGATGGCACTATTTACTAAGTGAAGCTGTGTTTCTTGGAGTATGAATGGGTGATCAATTATGTAAGAAATTGTGTGACATAAATGCCTTAACCTGCACAGATTAGTAACAACTGACAAATCAGAATGAGAGGATAGGATAGGAAGGGGCAAGATCGGACATACTGACTACACATTACGTACAAAGGTCGGTTCTGTGAGAGTTTAAAGATAGCATAATATATGCATTGTGATAATAGCATTATATTGTGTAATAACATTGTCATAATAATGTTTCACTATAAATATACAGAGTTTTCTTGCAGGTACATTTTGGAAGGAAAATGTGGCTCTACTCTCTTACAAATGAGCTCAATAGTGTTTTTATCATATGTTATAGAAGCATCTATGGAAGCTGGATAGTCACATAGCTTCCACATCAAGCTATTCACACATTCACCATAATTACTAAGACTAAAGACTTTGTCACGTAAACTAGAAAGGCTCTGAGTTATTCAGCAACCAAGTGTTGTTTCCTGTTTTTTTCTGGAAGGCCCCAATAACTCAGCTTGGAATTTAGTAACAGGTTCAGTAAAGTGTGAATTGAAGAGTGTAGAGTAGGGATACTGTAGAGCTTAGAGAGCAATTTTCTTAATGAGAGTCACTAAAGTCAACCACAGTGAGCGCAACACCAAACTAAGTGATGATTGATGTTAAGTGGACTCGAAGAAATAATCTGTTTATTATCTCCCTACTGGCAGAAGCTCAGAGAGCGGTAGACATGTTAACAAGGCTGTCTGGGAAAGTAGACAGGAGGATGTGGGAGGAGGGCGGGGGGAGAAGGGGGAGTATCAGAGGATGGGGCTTGGTGTTTGGGGGGTACAGAGTTTTTAAACCTCTTACCCTCTGTGAACAAGTAAAAAAAAATTGGATTCTTACCTGGCTCATTATGAAAGCTGTTTGGCTTCCCAGCTCATAATTTGTGAAACCAGGAACTTGTTCCAGATGCACAACCTGCAGCTGGGGCTGAGGCAGCAGCTGAGACAGGGTTATGGTCACAAATACAGATTTCAGAATAAGAATGGAGCTGTGGAAAATAGAGAGGATAATAAAAACTGACATTAGAGCTACTAGATGGTCCAGGTTGCTTTGGGTGGATGACTTAAGTTTGAAGTATGGAGAAAGAGACAGGGGTGGTACGCTTAAAAAGCTCAATACATGTAATGTATTACCAAATTAATTTATAAATATTCTTGAAAAGAGCAATACTAAAACAGTAGTGCAAGAAGCAGATAAAAAATGTTGTATTGCTGCATCTGTTGGTCTCGGTGAAGTATGACTTATGTATGACAGTATAAATTATGACTGAGTCATACAGGAAGGATTTATAGGAACCATGCACATGATCAAGATACAGCCAAATGAGAGAGGGAGATCTTTATATAGGAGGAGTCTAGTTGCATATTCCAGAGAAAATTAACATGGAAAGGGCAAACTAACAAAAGAGTGATAGTAACAAAGTAGAGCACACACACGATTAAAACTAATTAAATTAATTGTGAAAGTGGACGGATAAAATGGCCTAAGACATTAAAGACAACAGGGTATTCCTTGCAGTCTGTGAGCAGGGCTGCAGGAGGAGGTAATGATAGAGGAAGGGTTTGAGGAAGCGCTCCCAGCTCCGGCTGCAGCCCAGATGTCGGAAGAGAAATGGCATAACACATGGACCATCTAATAAATACTGTATAGGCAAGTATAATATAGAGTGCTGTGGTATGAGTGTTAACCTTGTGAAAAAACATCAGCAAACTGAACTATTTGACTCTTTAATAAATCACATATTTCACATATTTGACACATTTTATTGATTTCTTTTGTTGCAAGTTTATAAACTTAAATCAGTGTTATAATGTTGATTACCAGGCAGTTTCCCTAGGAGTGAACAGAAGTAGGTTGAGACCAAAAAAGAGCTAAAAGGACATTTGTCAGATCTCCAAGCAACAACAAGACTCAAAATAATGCTGCTCTGTCTCACCTGCATGTGTAACTAAGCAGCTTTTTTCAAACATACTATGTCTATGTTCTGTTAACAGCTTGTTTCTGCTGCCCCCATGTGGCTATACATTACATACCTATAAAAGAGGACACTTTAGTAACAAGATAACCATGTGCTGTTTCATATTTTGTCAGTTTACAAAATGTATTCAACTACTGTGTCAAAGGTTTCACCCTTATACACCACAAATGTTCATCCAAGGCTCAGGCACAATCACATCTCTTACTTTAGCTAGCTAACAGTTCACTAGACTGCTGTACCACTAGCAAATCATTGGCCTCAGATAGCTAGCTAGCAGGAAACTAAATCACAAATCACAGATCACAAAACAGCTATAATAAAACAAGTAGTTACAGATTAATGCTCCGACAAGTGTATTTTGGGGAGTAGCTAAAAGATCACAGATCTGACAAAATGGTGGATGTGACACTGTCAGTTAAAGTGCTCTGGAACAGGGGTTGCTATTAGCAACGACTGCTGGTGGCAGAACCAGAATACATACTGCTGTCATGGATGTTACAATATAAGTACAGTTTACATGGCCATCATTGTGACATACAAACAAGTGTTCTACCAGGCGTGTAACTACATGACTTTCTCAGCCTTTGGTCTTTTAACTTATCAAAGGATGTGGCATTTCACTTTTAGGAAAATTGGAGCAAATGTGGCCCCCGGCTATGAGATCCTGCACAGAACGTAATTACACATCAAAATGGTTAATATAGGGGAGTTAAAAGAGACAGCATTCTTCCTTGGCATGTTGGGACATGGTACACAGACAGAAAGGAAAACAAGACGAAGAATAATATACCGCCCTGATGAAAAGAGTTAAATATCATTGACAGGCAGCAACAACGTGGATATTAAATCTTAACACTTTTACTGCAGCATGGAATGTATGTGATGAGTGAGCATGCAAACACGAAAAAGAAAAACCCCAAATAACCAACACTGATGATTATCTCTACAGAATCAGATTCACTTTATTTGCTAGGTATATAAAATACAAGGAAAACAGGCCTTTTCCAAGTAACTTTCTTTTGCATGCTGGCTGGATTTCTGCTGCACTTATGCTCCATCCCCAAGAGGACTGAAGTCTGTGCTCTTTTCATCTGGAAGGAGTTAAATGGTTTAATCTAGAACCTACTTAATTGAAACACAATAGTTTTTTGTATTAGTGTACTAATCTAACACACACTCAAATGTGTCCTAAAAACATCGATAGTTAAGCATCAGTAATAGCAGATCAGTGTAATAGCAAAATTTATTCAAATTAAAAGTACTTGTGTACATGTTTAGGCAGCATTTTATTGGTGTAGGTGGTGCAATTGGGGCTAATTCTAGCAACTTTATAGATTATATGGAAGTGTAATCTTTAACAATGCATCATACTCTCTGAACCGGTCATGCATATTGTATGTCAGCTCTGAATCTGCAGAGTAACTAGTGAATTATTGTGAAAATAACAACAATTCCATCTGAAATGTAGTGGAGAAGAAGTATTATATAAGTAAAGAAGCATAAAATGAGAGAATGCAAAGTATACCTGAAAACTTACTTACTGTACTGTAAATGTGCTTCAAAAATTGATCAGCATATACATTTAAAATTCTCAGAGACTGTGAAAAACTAATATAAATGCCCTTTGCTATTCATGACATCTATAAATGGACCTGTGCGACACACTGGACCTTTAATGCAAAGTATTTGTTTATACCTTACATACTATTCTTTACTGTAGTTTCCTGTATGTTGTCACTGTCCAGGAGGTATTTTCACGTCGAGTCAGTAGTTTTCTCCCCTAAGGTTTTATGTCTAACTGACAGTGGTATGCAGTAGCTTACTAATGCCAGAGAAGGTGGGAGGACTGCAGGGTGAGAGAGAGATACACATTGAGAAACATAGATAGGCGAGACATGGTGAGAGAGAGCAAAGACCGTAAGAGGGATGCAAAAAGAGACAGTGACCAAATGACCCAAATGACCTGAGGCTGGTAACTGCAGGATAAGAGTCCTGCCCTCCTACTTTGTCTGATAATTACACAGTAAATTGAAGGAGGGTGGAGGGACCCAATAAATTATGACGAGAAACGTGGCAAATGTGCATGCAGTCACACACACACACACTGGTGGACAAGTCAGGGTGTGCCAGTAGGCAGCTCCAGTAAATGCACGACAGAGTGACATTCACTGACTTGTAAATCCAATAACCTGGCAAGACTTCACACAGACAGCTGAGAGAGGGAAAGAGAGACAGACAGAACCAGGCATACAGAGAGAGGGACATTAGAGGTGGAAATGCAGGTCAGGGCACTGAAATGAAGGGAGGGGGAGGTGGTAGTGCCTTTTGAAGGATGGAGTTAGACAGTAATCCCGTCA